AAATCACAGCAAGGTTGGAGACTTTCTGCTAATTACAGTAACAAGGGTGGCGGTAACACACTAGGTGGTATGTGCCAGATGCTTTATGTATATGAAGTTAACTCCTACAATTGCTCTGTGAGGTGTCAGCCCCAATACTGATAAGGAAACTGAGGCACAGAGAGGTTAGATACTTTGACAGAGATGACAGCTAGTAAATGCTTGGGCTGGTTTTCAAACTCAAGTATGTCTGACTTTAAAGCTGATGTTCTTGACCATTCTCCCACTAAGTCTTCTTTATTCCTTCAAAATGAGTACACCTCCAATCAACAAAACTTACAGAACATCTAAGGCATTGTGTTAGCTGTACACATATGGGGAGAGAGGTAACAATGAAGAACAAGGCAATTCATGGAATTTTCTATCTACTCCTATCTCGTTTGGGAGTTAAGAACTACTTGTGGGGGGCCAGCCTGGTGGCGTAGTGGTTAAGTTTGTGTGCTCTGCTTTGGCAGCCTAGGGTTTGTGGGTTCAGATCCCAGGCGCAGACCTACACACAACTGGTAAAGCCATGCTGTGGTGGCATCCCACATATAAAATAGAGGAAGACTGGCACAGATGTTAGCTTAGTGACAATCTTCCTCAAGCAAAAAGAGGAAGATTGGCAACAGAAGTTAGCTCAGGACCAATCTTCCTCACCAAAAAAAAAAAAAAGAAGAAGAAGAAAAGAAAAAGAAAAAAAGAAAGAACTACTTGCGGCCTAGTGGAAAGGAATGCAGGCAGGCATCAGGATTGGAAAGAGAACTTGGCGAGTGCTTACTAAAGACTGCGTCCTTTAATCATCACAGCACCCTGGGAGACAGATGTTACTACACCAATTATAGATGAGACATCTGGAGCTCTGAGAAGCTAACGTCTTGCCTAAGGTCAATACAGCTGATGTGTGAGAGCAGGGGCAGTCCACACCACCAGGTTCTTGCTAGAAAACTACTTGTGAAACTATCTGTGCAACACTATGGAAAGGAAGAGCTCTGGGGAGACAATACTATGTACAGTTGAGAAATATTTCACATTTATAACAGAAAATAATTTTGATAAATTTATCACGGAGAAATTTGACAGTCTTAACAGCTGTCCTGTACTAATTTGAATAATTTATTGGAAAGCTAGATATTAACCACCTATAAATGTTTTGTTTCTGGTATAAAGTAGACATATTTATGGTAATAATTTTTTCTGTAGTAAACTTAAGTTTTACAGTTGCTCCAAAGATTTAAACAACCTGGAAGCCTTTTACTCAGAAGATAATTACAGAATTCCTAACTTACTGTCAATTGGTAATGCCATTTCTAGGTATATATCTAGCATCTGTATTTCCATCCCACTTAAAAAAAATTATGAAGTTATAACAAATTTTCCTTTCAAAGAGGTGTGACCTTCTCGCAGGAGCAACACTAAGGGATGCCGTCCAGCAGCATCAGTGTCGTCACCCCCACACTCCTCTGCTCCGCTCTCACCACAGGCAGGCACTGTTCTCAGTGCTTTGACACGATTTCTCAACATCCCTACAAGTCAGGGATGATGATGATGATGATTATTGTCCCCTTGTAACAGATGAGGAAACTGAGGCAAGTGGAGGCTAAGTAGGTTTGTCAAGATCACAAAGCTAGAAATCATGCCATGTAATCTGACTGCAGAGCTGATATTCTTAAACACTTTATCCTTGGGAAAACGAACATCTTGACTAAGCAAGGATCAGTATCTTTCCTATGTAAAATGTTCTGGAAACATCTGTTCAAGACTGAAGCTTGTAAGAGCAACACTCTTGGCTTGTTTACATATGGTAACTAAGTGACCCTCGAACTCTCAGAGGATCTGTGGGAAACTATCCCAGAAACAGCAAAGGAGTCTGCTTCTCGTGCACTTTCATCTGCTGAAGCTGCTTCCAGAGGCAGCTTGTCAATCTCCTCATCCAACTTTCATGGCTGCTCTGACTGTCAATCTAATCATCTCACAGTTGGATCCATTCTCATTTCCTTTCTATTTGACTTTGGGGGTTTGCCCAATGGAACTTTCCTTGTTGTTAAGTCCATACCTTCTACTGAGAACAATTACAAACCCTCCCTGGACACAGCTGCCCCTCATTTTCTCACTGAGCCTCCTGCGTCTTTACCTCTCATGGACACCATTCTCCTTTTGGGTAAGGTGGCAATTTGAAGATTGCTGTTTCTCTTTGAATCATCCAACCTCACTCTGCATACCAACCTCAACCCCCATGCCCTTTAAATTTTAATTGTAAAGAGATTTCATGTCACTTCAAATGTTTTCCCCAATCACTAAAAAAAAAAACCCAAAATAAAAACCATCTATAAAATTCACAGATCATAAAAATCAATGCCTAGTTCTGTTTAGATTATTTTAGATACTTGAGATAATTCATCTTGGTATGGACAGAAACAGAAGTACTTGAGTAACTTAACAATTCCATTTATTTTTCTCTTGTTAACAACAATCAAAGGAGACAACCAAACAATCCTCGCCTGGAGCTTTCTTGGCTCTCCCAAGCTGAGGTCTCAGAGCCCTAGCTGATCTCAGACCACGCTGGTGAAAGCAGGGAAGTGCTCCCTCTACCGCAGGGTGTAGGAGGCTGCTGAGGATCTGGGAGCGCTATTTCTCAATAACTGACACCTAATGGCAGAGAGAGCCTAGACTCTTCACACACTGTAACTAACACAGGGATCTCTCCCATCTAAAAGCAAACAGGGTTTGCACATCAGCAGTAAGACACAATATGTAAAAGCTGAGCATAAAATATGTGGGCTGTTTTACATTACATACAAAAATGTCAGGTTGTATCAGTGAAGTTGTAAAATTTAAAAAACTTTTCTCATAAACTATACATTCAAGTTAAAAAGACTACACATGCTCTATTTGCCCTCCTTCAACCCTACTTTACTGAATAAGATGAGAGAGAGACGGGAGGGGAGGGGTGGGGGAGGGAGAGAGAGAGATTAAGCAAAGTTACTAATGGTGCCTGCAGGCCACAACTCAGAATGTTTGCATCAAGTTTATAGTTTCATTCCGTTCTTAATAAAAAAAAGCTGAAAAAGTTACTCAGTATGTTCAAATTACTTTGTTTTTTCTTTCCCTCCTCAATATTCTCCCTTCCCTTTCAGGACTCAACAGCACTCCAGAAACACCAGAAAAAGGCCTTCAGAGCCTCCTGGTTTCCCCTCCCTTTGAGCATCGGTCCACAGGCCTGGGGACCTGGTAGGGATGGGGGCCCTGGTGCTGGGCACCCACAGCTGAGGTGAGGTTGCCTACAATTCCTCTTCCAGCGTTCCTCATCAGAACTCCCTGCAATGAGGTTTTCTCCGCTCCACTCCAAATAAATGGCTTTTTGCAGTTACCAGTGATTTCTGTGTTGCCAAATCCAATGCTTAATTCTCAGTCTACGACCGCACCAGACCTATGAGCAGGAGTTCGCACAAATGGTCAATCTCTTCTCTTTGAGGCACTTTCCCTTTTGGACTCCAGGACCCAGCTCTCTTGCTGGCTCTGCTCCCTCACTGACCACTTTTTCCTGTCTCCTTTATTTATTTTCCCCGAGTCTCTAAATGCTTTTCCCTTTTCTATCTGGATTTATTGCCTAGGTGATCCCACTCAGACCAGGCCTTTATATACTATCTGTACACTGATAAGACTCAAATTTACATCTCTAGCCTGGACCTCTGCTCTCAATGCCAGGCTCATATATCCATTTGGCTACTCGGCATCTCTATTTGGGTATCTAAGAGGTCTCTTAAATGCATGTCTAAAACTCAACCTCATTTCTCCCTGCAGTCTGCTCTTCCTGAGTCTTTCCAAGCACAGGAAATTTGACCTCCGTTCTTCTAGCCAAAAATCGTAGTGTCATCTCCGATTCATCTTCTGTCATACTTTATCATCCAATCCATCAATAAATCATGTTGCAACTACCTTCAAAATATCCAGAACAGGGGCAGGCCTCACTTCCTCCACTGCTGCCACCCAAGTCTAAGCCGTCACCATCTCTCCCTGAACTGCTGCCGGAGGCTCCTCATTGGTTTGAGTCTCCTCTCTCACCTCCTCAAAGCAGCCATAATTCAAACACCACACCCTAGCTCAAAACCCTCCAACAGCTGCTCACCTCACTCAGGGGAAATCCCTGCCTACCAGTGCTCAAGGTGCTTTCTGATCCAGCCCCACCTACCTGACCTACCCTCTTCCACCCCACTCCCGTCACTCTACCCACTCCACGCAGGGATGCTGGAGGACAAAAATTGCTTTTAGTTCTGCTATAATGGTCCAACTCCAATTTCCCCTTGACTTGTCCCTTCCTTTCATCTGATTATTTGCTTAAACGTTCCTTTGTCAGAGAGGCTGCCTCTCCATCCACATTCTCTCTCCCTTTTCCTGCTTTTGCATTTCTCAGCACCTGTCGCCACATGAAATATTTAGGTATCTCTTCTGACAAAAAGAGAGAGTAAATGAGGTAAGGGCTTTGTTGTTCACGGCTGTGTCTTCAGTGTTTAGGCCCATAGCTTGTATGTAGTGGGGGGGTTTAATAAAACTTGTTAAGGGACAAATAAATGACGTAGCTGAGAGAATGGAGCTCAGGCCAAGAGCACCTTCTTTGCTTTGGTGCCCCGCAAATAGTCTCCACAAGGAGAACACACTGCTGACAAGATGGTGGTGATTTCACATCAGAAACAGAATGTGTGGAAGAAGAACTGATAATTAAAGGCTACGGTTCCTAGGGATGGTATAAGAATCACCTGGAACACTTAAAAATACAGAGGCCCAAGTCTAACCACTGAAGGATCTCAGTTAGGAAGGGAAGGCGGGGCAGGGCAGCTGTATTTTCAAGGGTTCCCCGAGTGATTCTGATGTCGGATCCCTGTTAAAACCAGTTATTCAAAGGAAGCGTCTCAAAGGGCATGTGGTAAACAACTATGCAGTAAATAAAACAACACACATTTGTTTTTTTTAAACCCACATACCTGACTGGGGACTCAAAAATACAGTTGTTTTTTGTTTCTTTTTGTCTTCATGTAAAAGCACTGCCTAAAAAATGAAATAGACTAGTTTACAAAATTGAAAGGAATAGCACCAAAACAGCCTTAAAACTATAACCATATCCAAGGAGAGCCGAAATTAGGCATGTAGGTGGCAGAACTTTGCAAGTTAATTGAAAAGCAGGACACAGAGGCAGGAATCTTGAGAGCAGGCCCTGCCACCAGAGGAGAGCAGGCCTCACGCACACAGTGCCGGGAGGAGTGAGGGAGCCAGGAGCGTTAGCCAGTAGGAAGGAGGCAGGGCCGGGCTGGGCACAGGGCTGCAGCACTCAGGAAGTGTGTGCTGACAGACACGTGACGGAGGGCTTCCTGCTCAGCTCTGAGCTGGGTTTACCTGGACAAACGTGCCAGCTGGTCTCAAAGGGCTAGCTGACGAAGGGGATCCAAACACACAATCTGATTTAGACAAACCTGAGAAAGAAATCAGCACTTTTTGTTCCTACTTTAAACTGAAAGCACTGGCCGTTTTCCCACTTCCACAGAAAGACTTTCTGCTGATGTTACAGAAGCTCCACTCAGTATATATCATGTGGACAAAAAAATAACACATTTGAAGAAATGAGGGAGCAGCACAATTTTCAGACAGGAAGAAGCAGCTGATTATTTTGAATTGCTGCTGGAGGAAGTCCACCCTACTCCAGCCCCACTCCTCCCGTCTTACTTTACTTTTCTAATATGATAACTACTTGACAATGTGGAACTACTGCATTCTGAAGAAACCAAGACTCTAGCGCTCTCCTTTAGGTTTGATAACACCCCGCCCCCACCCCAAGATACCCCCTCTCTCTTGGATTGCTGCCCCCCGCCTGCCAGAATCACTGCTGTATTTTGAGCGGCGTCACTAGTAGACAACTTAGCTACTAGCTGGAAGGAAGAAATCCATGAAAGCTGGGGGAGCGCAGGGGCATTCCTTCCCCACTTGGCCGTACCAGAGAGGAACACAGTGATAATGTACTTCATGCTATGAGTAAACACAGACCTTGAGTTCTTCTGAGGGTAGCCTACAAAAATAATTTTGGTAAAACTTTATTACATCTTATCTATACTGTTTACAGTTTCCTCATCTGTAAACTGGGGACATGAATACCACCACATAATTGGGGCTGTGATGAAAATTAGATGAGATTACCCATGTTAAGGACTTAAAATAGTGCCTGATCCGGAGTAGGCGCTCAGTGAATGGTAACTGTTGCTATTTTCTTTTAAATACATTTATCTATTATAATCATAAAAGAAAATAGTTTATTCTGGTATATGTCCCATGTCAGGGCAAAAATGCTTGAAAGTGAATTTGTCTGAGCTCCTTAGAAGCAGAGCAAGCTATATCCTCCATAAACATTTAAGTCCTATTTTAAAATCATAAATAAATAATTTAAAAATATACTTCTTTCCATATAAGGCTCCTTTTTAAAAAAAATAAGGATAGGTAATGTAAAAATTTTGTCCTAAAAAAAGAGACACTCTTTTGCTGATAGAATCAAATGGAAGAGCGGTATTAGAGTTCCAGGAGCAGTGAGCACAGCGTAAGAATTTTAAGGAAACTGGCAGCAGTGCTGACTTTTTTATGCTGTCCACAAACATATACAACTGAGGACAGGAACAGAGTTACTGCTTCAATAAAAAAAAATGACTTCCGAGGGTTTCTCCTTTATGCTAGTCAAATTTCACCCACTTTCACAGGTTTGTTCTGAGAAACAAAGTGAGAGTGCATAAATCAGTTTGCAAATGGTAACTTATTACACACGCACAAGGTACCCTCACTTGTAACTGTCGGTTAGAAAGGTACCCACAATGGACCCTTCGCCCATTTCAGATAAAGGGCCAATTCAGACCCAACAACTTAGAGGGGCAGGACTTATGGATGATTTTCAACTATGGACTGATAGTATATTTTTTCTCATCATAAGAATAATCATGTTCACTGCAGAAAGTACTAAAATGATGAAATCCAAAGCTACAACCCTCTGCAAGCCTCCTCTGCAGTCAGAACCCCCGTGACCTGTCTACACATTTGCTCTAGTCCCTTTCAGGTAAGTGCATGTCATGCATTTACACAAACACACATGCGGCTCCCTGCACACACAGGGCGGCATCCTGAGATGCTCCGCCTGTTCCCCCCGGGTGGGCAGTGCTTCCACTTCCAAAGGGCGCACTGAGGAGCGGAGCTCATGGTGTAGTCTGCTTTCTGCTCGCCAAGGCTGCACTTTCTAGGGACTGGGGATGACCAGGTTTTCACTTCATTGATACTCTTAGTAGAAAAGTCAGCCAAATGGTTTTCAGAAGCCTCTACACAAAACTAGGAATAAGTGTTTAAGATGCACAGAGGGTCAGAATTAAAGGTGAGGGGGAGGGGAGATTTTGCTTTCTTAAAAACAGTAACTTTTTGAGTAAATGGATTTGTTAAAGAAACAAATTAAAATAGTGAAGAACTCTAAAAAAGAGATTTCCCTTGAGATGTGAGTGTAAACATCACGGTGTGATTGGTGAACATACCTGCAGAGCCTTTAAACTGTGGGCATTCCTTTTTAATGTGCCCTTCTCTTCCACAAATAAAACAGCGCTTTTCTCTTAAGTCTTTGTCGTCCTGCCTCTTCCATTTCTCCGCCGGTGGCCTGAGAAGTCTCTCTCTCCCCAGGTCGCCGGCTGCCCTCACTGGCTTGGCTTTCTGAGGGGTGCACTGTGCGGGTTTATCTTCCTTTGTTGATGCCTCCCTCTCTGTGTACTTGTTCTGAATTTCCTTGTCCTCTTTGCTTCTTTTCTCTTTGTTCTCAGGGTATCTTTGGTTCAGGGTATCATCCTGATCTCGCCGCCGCCTCACTCTGTAGAAGAAGATACAATACTAGTAGGAAAAAGTGAAACAGAAACCTAACAAAATATTAAGACCATTCCAGGTTTAGGAGATGAATAGAAATAGAAAGTATCAGGGAAAAACACACATTTAACCAATTTAGGTCCACCTTCTCTATTAAGTAGCAACCTCAGGGCTTAAGGGTGTAGTTTTTCTTTTTCATTTTCAAAATTACTCTAGTGCTGTAAAGCCAGTTTTTGCAATTAGTGGAACTCCTTGGTTCAATATCTACTTTGATACTGAGGTGATGAAACTCAAATCTCCTTGGGGGATTTCTTGAACCTTTCTGGTCCATTAGCATTCTTTACTAGGCACTGGAAATTTGAGATGCGAAACTTTAATTTCACAAGACAATAATGGTTATAAGGAGATTTATGTTCTTAAAATGTTAAAATCATTTCTTCCTTGCCCAACAGGACCAGTGACTATTGTCTGAATAAAAACCGAAAAAAGTACTAAATAAAAGCCTCAAATTCCAGATGGTGAATTATTTTTAAGCAGCATGTTTTTAAATGAGAATATCATCATCCAGTTAAAAATACTCCCCCCAAAACAACAATATGCCCCACAAGCAACCCATGACACACCTCCCCTCCACCCCCGCCATACCCCACCCTTGTGCAAACATCACCAGAAGCAAGCATGGTGACGAAGCTGAGTAGGTCACCATAGCAATTATTAGGGGTTAAACTGCATCCAAGTGAAGGGTCCTATGGTCCAGTAAACGGTCAGTGAGTCTAAATTCCAACATGACAGACTCCAGTTATTGTACACTAGAAGTATAATTTACATCCTGAAGGAATCCATGGTACTTGTCGTTGACTGAAATGATTCTGAACTTCTCAATGCTGGAAAAGGGAAGGATTTTGTTGCCTCTTTTCTTCCTCCATCCTGGGTGGAGAGGTTGCTGACCAAATGACTGAGTAAAGATTAGGGCCATGACCAAAATCAGGAAAGGGGACCAGGCCCAGAAGACTGTCACCTGTACACCTGAGTCATTCCTAGTCAACTGCACTTAAAGCCATGTTTTAAATCACTTAATTCTCATGGTAAAAAATCTTAAATTTATCTGAGAACTGGATTTCATGCAAGTTTACTTTCTGTTACAATAGAACCTCATTTAAAAACTGGTAAAATAAGAAAACAAAAACAAAACCATCCCTTTTGAACATTTACTTACTTTCTCCTCATAGGACAATCCTTCATGAAGTGTCCAATTTTCCCACAAATTCGGCAACATCTATCATTTGGGGCCAGCTCTCCTTCAGTTAGCACATCTGGATCAAAAAAGTACTCCTAGCAGAACAGAAATATATACAAATCTGAACTACTAATGCGACAACAAAACACAAAAGCTAACCAGATGTCTATCAGGGATCTTATATCTCAACACTGACATATCATTATGTTTAATAATTATTATGTACACTGTTTAATTCCAAATCTAAAACAATCAAGCAGTCTCATTCAGGGTAGCTTTATCCAAATTCACTTCTGTTTATTTCTTTTCATCATGCAGAACACTGTTCAACTTTATACTGTAAAGGTAGCTTTTTTTTAAAGTACACTTCTAAGTAAGAGCATTACACATCCCTGTGAGTCAGCTTCCCCCGGACTTGAGAGGAGCATTTTATGTTTTCTCATAAAATGAAAAGGCTAAGGCTAAAATGTAACGAATTGAGGAAGGTGATTTGCATCACACATTACAGAGAAAGAGAAAGAAGCTATGTGTTGTTGCTTTGCTTTGTTGTGGCTTCTGAGTGGAAACATATCAGGAGAAAGGAAAGACAATGGTCTGGACTCCAGCCTCTTTGCCATGGAAATTAAGGTGGGAACCAGCAGCATCGGTGGCATCACCCGGGGAGCTCACAGGAAATGTAGAGTCTTGGGCTCCACCCCAGACCTCCTGAATCGGAAACTGCACTTTAACAAGATCCCCAGGGGATCTGCTTGAACAAGTTTCAGAAGCACTGGTGCAGAAGATTGCCACAGCAATATCTAGCAAAAACCAGATGGACAGAGGTAGTCAAATGCTGACTGTGCCTTTACACCCATATGCTTAAGGTTCATTCAGAAAGTGTTTATTAAGAAAACTAATACAGGAGAAAAACATAAAACCCTCTAGTTCCTAAGCCCCTTTTCTCTCACTGAAATGAACTTTTAAAATGCAATTTGTTTTGTTTCTCAAGAGTGTTGTTCCATAAAAACCTGAATATTGGGTTTTATGAGAACGGACAGTTCTCCAGCACAGGCGGTACTGTCTCTCTCCTAGTCCCATTAAGGGATTTATTATTCTTTGCAAGCAGACTGAAAAATCTGGACTTCATATAAGGAGCATGGAGGATGTCCTTAGATATGCACAAACTGCGCTTGGCAGAGGCTGGCATGGAGTTGATGCTGGTGGAACAGAAATGCTACCTATATGTGTTACCAAGGAAAAGCAGCAACAAAATTATTAATTTTCCCACCCAAACTCCATTTCTGGCTATTTCTCCCTGTTCTCCTGATAAATAGCCCCAAAACAGGGATGTTTAAAAAAAGGTTTTTAGAAATCACTTTGTACTGTAATTATCTCAGCTAGACGCACCAGACTTTCGGAGTATTTAAGTTATTACTGAAGTAAGTGTACAAATTAGGTGCTTAATAAAAACTTTTAGAATTGGTTTTTGGTATTTACAACAAACACTTACCATTTTTGAGGGGTAGTCCTTTGGAAATCCTTTGACTGGAATACCGAATACTCTTCTACCATTAATAAATGCTTTCATTATAAAATTTGTCACTAAGAAGAAAAGAGTAAGTGCTCAATTAGATGGATTAAAAGGAAAAGAGATCACATTAATATTTACAAACAAAGAAACTTACTTTTCCTTGATAATCCAGCTCCAAGATTATGATTCAAATCAAAAGGATCTAAGAAAATTAATGAGAACAAAAAAGATAATCAAATAGGAAATGCCACTATGCATACATTAAGTGAGGCCTATATAATGCAAAGAAAGTGTTACATACTTTATCTTTAATAAAAGTATTAAATGACTGCCTTTTTAACGAAATTCAAATCTGTAATACAGCTAAGTAGTATATACTCCTAAATATATGCCAAGTTTTTCCCCAAAAGTGTCCATCAGAAAAGAGAGTGTTGCCTTATCTTTGAGTCCTTACAGATCCTTCATATTACGAGGAATTGCTTCATCATGAACAACCAAATGCTGTTTGGAGAAGACTTATTAGCCTGATATTATCTAATGATGCTGGCTGTGGAGGCACACAGAGGTCACAAATATACTTAAAACATTTTAGCACTGAATCTTTCTGCTAACCAACAAGCTTTTAATATCCCTTTAGAAAATAATTCATCACAGAGATCATAAAACACACTTATAAGATAAATTAAAACACACACACCTGTCCCACTGGCATGCCCATAGCTACCTGGGTCTTAATTTCCAATAAAAGCTTCAGATAAAGACTCCTATATGATCTCAAATGGCTACATCTCAAGCGTCTTGGATAGGGGTGTATATATATATATGATGTGTTCTGGATTATTACATGTTAGAGGACCCAGAAAGTGGTAGGAACGATGAAAAAAATGCTGATGTCAAAGATGTATGTGATACCTGAATAAATTGGTTCATGAAATAAATGGAGGTAAAGGACTATTTCTAAATCAAAATACTATTTTGTATATAATACTTAAATATGTGCAAATAATAATTCATAATTTAAACATTATGTGTAGATATTTAGTTATTTCCAAAAAATGCCTAATAGCATATTCAAGAAAGCAAAGGAAAAAAAACCCAAAACCTTTTTTGGAGAACATCTCATTAGGAAAATGGAGGCTTGCGTTCATAGAGCATATACGAAACGAGTGAAGAAGTTTTAATAAGAGGCACTCTTCCAGTTGTCTGTTAAGCTTCTAGCGCACAATAACTGAGATACGCCATTTGGGAGTTAGACTCACTAACAGTTTCCTGGAGCACAGGACCCTTGCCTCAGTTTAACCCTACACTAATCATTGCTATGAGAAGGTTACCCTCCTAGTAAGTTTGGTCATGCTTTCTTCTAGCGATCGTTATGTGTGTGTGTTTGCAAGTATTTCTGGTTGTTTGCTAGGTGTAGTATACTACAACATTAGCTATTGTACAGTTACAAACACTACTACTACCACCATCACTGCAATTTCTCAATTCTAGAAGAGCTGCTTAAAAGTCCTCTTTCTGATTAAGCCTATGGCTCATCTGAAAGCAACGTAAAAATTAAAAGCAAAAGATAATGAGGTTTCAAAAATTAAAAACAAAATATTAATAATTGGCAGACCATACGAATTTATTGTGATAATGGAAAGGTTTAAGACAAAGTTTTATGTTTTTGACATGTGAGATCCTAAAAAGTTAAAAGCCTATCTCTAGCCCATTGTGATCTGAATTTAATTTTATGAACGTTCACAGTATTTTAATACCACCAGTAGGCAGAAGTAATGACAAAAGCATAACCTATATTAACACATATTTAGGTGATATGAGTATATATGTACCTTCAATAACAATGTATTTTGAAGTCCACTGTTTCTTAAAAGTTGTAAGCAGACTTTTTCTCCTGATGCTAATAACATGTTCTTTAAAATCAAATTCCTCTGTGTAGAAACGAAGAAGACCCAACCATAGCTGCCCAACAGATTCTGTATTTTTTCCATATTCTGGCCAATAGGAGGGCTAGAAATAGAAGGGAACAAAGATATCATGCTCTCTGTTAAAGTGTTAATATCAACAGTCATTTGCATCTCAGGGAGTAAATTTGCACTTATTTTAATTAAGTTTAAATACATAAAAATATAATTACATAACTTTTCTTTCACATTTTAAAATACCATTTACATGAGTTTATTAATCTCTACCTTATGACTCAGAGATAGGGAGGGCTTAGGGTTTTAAACGTCAGAGTTCAGAACGCATGTTTGTGGAAGAATCTGGAAATAAATTTAAGAGCCTTGGCGATGTCTGAATTATTAGGTGTTTGTAACTTAAAGTCTTTCCAAACTCTCTGTAGAAAACCACAGAGGAAATATTCGTTCATTTGGAATAAAGTTATCTAACCATTTGGAATTTTAGGCATTAAAATAATCTTGGATATAGTCCCTAGAAACTCACCTGGCTTAATAAAAATGTTTTCAACTTCAAAGAAAACATCTGTATATGCTAGTTTTTTACTCTCATAATATAAATAAATGTAATAAGTGATAACACAGTTGTTGACCATCTACACTACAGCATAGCAGAGTGAACTTTTAGTCAAGGATGTAAAAAAACATCTTTACTCTTAAAATACGTACCAGTTCATCTATTTGATCAAAAAAATAAATATTCCAGCCATCAACAAATATTTCAGGTTTCTTTTCACCTCTGTATATCTGAAATTAATTTTTAAACTATTAGTATGGATAACAACTCAATACAATTGATAGAAAAACTCGTAGAAAACAGTTAAAAAACTTTAACTACAGAACTACAGAATTTTAGAAACGGAAGAGGGTTCAAAGATCACCCGGCTTTACAGATGAGAAGTACAATTTCCTTTACGAATACCTCCTGAAGGACAGGAATGACTGGCGGGTTCCTCTGCTGGAGGAAATAGAGCACCATAAGCGTGTATGCATAGGACGACAAGCTGCCTCTTGACGCGTCACCAATGTCGCACATCTGGAGGGCAGGCACGGGGACAAAGGAAAGAGCAGATGGGTTTTCTGTTAAGTTTGCAGCTGTTCTACTATCACTAAAAGGAAGCTGCTTCTTTGGGCCCCAATATAAAAATGACACTTTCAAATGCTAAATATGCCAACAAAAGCAACCAACAGAAAATCAAAAACAAAACAAAACAAAAAAACCCCAACAAAGCAGAGGAACTATCAGTTACAAGCATTTTAGCTTGCTGGGGAGGGTTTCCCAGAAAGCTAAGCAAGCACTTGACATGGCTATAGTTCTTTAGAGAAAACAGACTCATGTTTTCAACAAAGTTTGCAGACACAATGAAATTTCCTGATAAACAGGAAGCTTTGGACTCACCTTTGTAAATACTTTCATGGTATAGCACAAATATTTCACTCTGGGATCAATGGCTGAATAAGCAGATAAGAGCCTTGTGTTATGAAGGGCCTGTTAAAAGGGAAATTACACCATTAGGCTATCAATTAAAAGAAAAGTTTTAAGCTGGAATATTCTGAAAAGGTTCACACTGTAATCCATTTTAGGATGAAGACATTTAGACTGAAACTAATAGTTCATTCTCCAAGATAAGCTTCATTAACTTACTAGCTAATAACTCTAAGTGACTGAGCTCATGACTCCCACTATGTGACTATGTCCTTGGTCTGAACATTCCTAGAAAATAAGAGCTATTAAAATAATCAGTTCCCTTTAAGTAGATGTAAGATTCCCCCACCCAGCTCTGACATTATTTAAATTAAACGCCCTTAGGGGCCAGAGAGGTCCCATAAAGCTCTGAGGCACACCGAGAGTGAGACCAAACTCTCTCCATCCCAAATTAAAACAAAGTTCATTCCAAACAAAAAGCACCTGCCACTCTGACCTCATTTTAAATGAACGCTAATATTAACTTACTTCTCTGTTACACCCCAGCCTCAAAACACTGCCCAGCACCTAGCAAGCACTCACAAATAACTGAAAGAATGAATAAGATGAAATGAATGGCTTTATTTTACTTGAGATTTTGTAAATTGAGACATTCATTCCCCTTAATCTCCCTAAAGAAAAAGCCTAGAGAAAATCTTACCAATGTGTTATACAAACTGATGTCCACTTCCAGCCCACTTCTCAAATGGAAGAACTTTACAATTGGCACCTTTGCTGTGGTAATAGGCAAGATGTTTCTCAGACCTAGGTTGGGAAATAAGTATCATTAAATACAGCAGCTGGGGATCTAAGATGCTCTTATGTTAACGTTCCAATATAAAATGATGTAAACCTAACTTTGGCTGTTTCCCTGTAGTCACTAGGACTAGTCAAACAATCCTCTATCAATTAACAAATATCTGGGAAGACTCTTGTGACAGAAACAGTGTGTTTACATTTGTTAAACACACTGGTTTCTGAAGTACAAGAATCAACAAGGCAGCCACTGCCCTCCAGGAAGTCACTGGATCTCGTGGGTGTAGGGCTGTCAGTCTGATAAACACCCAAACAAAGGAAACTACTACAGAGCCTGGATTATGCGGGCCCTACCTATTCTCTCCATATGACTGTATTTAACACGGAGAAAAGCCTATGGTGCAATCATGTGAATCCTCATGACAAAAGTTACTCATCATGGAGCTAGAAGTTATGACAATAAAAGAAAGGAATCAGCTTTAATAGGAGAGGAGGAAACTGCCTGAGCTGGGTTTTAAAAAAGGAGAACAAGAGGCAAAAAGAGAGGAGGCTGAGGGGATTTACTAGGCAAGGAAAACTGCACACGGAAAGGGTAGATGCCTGAAACAGAACAGCATGCTCAAAGAACTTCCATGGAATTGTGAAGGCTACAGAGCGGACCTGAGGAAAAGGAATAATGAGAAATAGAAGGTAGCGTAGAAACTGGGAAGAGCCCAAAAACAGAACATACATATTCTGCTACGAATTATCTCCTTAGAGGCAAAGAGAAGCCAATGAACTGGTCTAAGATGGAAGGAATCACTGACCACCTACGAGACAGGAACCAGCCTAATGAGACAAGGCCATCACAAGGCCCTGGGCCTAACAAAATAAGGCCCTAACAAGACTGGCCCTAACCAATCTGCAGACTAGGAGAATCAGACAGAGGCTGCCAAGATCCACATTCCATAGCCTCAGGACGTTCGTGGGCTTACGTATGCGCCCAGCACCCAGGAGTCCACTGAAGGTGTCCCTAGCCCCATTAGCATAGTAAAAATCACAGCCAGGTGTGGAGAGCTAGCATGCTATTGATACATGCGTCACATGAGATGGCATATTAAACAACAGTGCAGGCGTAAGGAAAACTCCACCTTTACATGCCCTGACAAGGCCCTCCTCCCCAGCCTTTGCCTAATGGAAGCCCCACAGTCCCACTCCCTAACGAGCTGGTCACCTGCCCCTTTCCTTTCGCACCGGTTCCCTTGTGCCTCCCCTGTGCAAAAGTCAATAAACTTTTATTTTTCTACTCCTGTTTGTTGTCTTTCTTGTCTTTCCATCCTGGGGGACAATAAGAATCCAACACTCCAGTAACACATCTATTTAGACAATGCCCCTAAAAATGGACAGATTGAGGCACCCGGAATAGAGGCGGGGTGACCATTATGAAAAATGATCTGGGACTGAACTCTCATGGTGTTATGGGAACGCAGAGAAGCAGCAAGACACGTTTGAGAGCATCTATAACTGGATGAGGTGGGGAAGTGGAGGCAGGGGTGATAAGGGAGAAGGAGGGCTCTAACAGTAAGAGCTACCACTCCCTGAGTACCTAGAATCCTTTACAAACATTCCCTCCCAAGACTAGTCACCCTCACCTAACAGATGAAGAAACAGAAACCCAGAGAAATGAGCTTGCTTAGGAATGTGCAGCTGGTAAACTGGCGCTGGGATTCCAATCTAGGTACGACTGACTCTAAACTTCTACTGAGGCTGATCTGGGAGAGGCTAATTAGCACTTCATCCATTTTGGTGATTCCAAAGACGGCAATGTCAACAACCCAGAAAGAGGATTCAGAAGGAAGAGTAGGTAATGGTGGCTGTAGCAGAAGGGAGGCAGTAGAGAGAAAGATAAGTTCTTCCGAGAGTCAAGTGGCGATACCTAGAGGGCAGATACACAGTGATCCAGAACTCAGGAAAAAGGTATGTAGATGACAGAAGAAAGTTCAGCAAAAAATGTCTGTGTGGGAGAGAAGATGTCTAACTTATCCTGCTGGGGAGGAGGGGCAAGGAAGCTCATTTTTACTGAATACTTAGCATACGCTAGCCCCTGTACTTTAATGCATTACTTTTCATAATCTTAAGTGCTATTACTGTTATTCCCACTTTATAGATGAGGAACTGAGTGTTTATAATGAGGTTGAGTGACTTTCTGGGATCACACAGCCAACAAGTGGGGAGCCAAGATCGAAAACCAGAGTCTGACTCCAGAAACCCCACCGGCGACTTTGCCATACTGCCTCTAAATAAGAGAGTTTCTCTCAACCTCCTTCCCATTCTAGGATTCGACAGTTAACCACCATGAGACTTACAAGCCTGTCCTCTGGGCTTTACTCACAGCACCATCATCCTGGTTCTTGTTTATCATTCTAATGGCTCCTTTTTCGGTGTCTTTTCTTAATTTCTACCCACAGAAATTAAGGCTTAGTCCTCAACTTCTCTCAAAGGATTCCTCAGAATTCTGCTTTATTCTTGGTGTCTCCTTTCCCTCTCTTCAAAGCTTTCAATGCAAAACTGTTCTGCAATCCTGACAGACAACTCCATATTTCTAACTGCTTGCTGGACTGTTAACTCTTGGAGATTATACCTTCCTAGCAAATTAAACACTCCCACACTGGTGTTCTCTGCAAGCATCCCCATTTCTCAAGTGACATGAGCCTGAACCCTTATTTCCTACTTATAGGTACCAAATCTAGGAAATTTTCCTTTTCCTTTTAGGGCCACTAGCAGCTGGTTAAGGTCATTCTGCCCTGTCATTTAGATTACACTTTCTCCAAAAGACTATACAAGCTGCCTAAAAAGCTTAAGTTTTGCTTTTATTGAGTTCCTCCCCTCCTGAAGAAACCTCAGTGGCTTCCAAATATCTACAGACTTCACCTATTTTCTAATAGTTCCCACTTGAAACTCTTCTCTAAACTTACCAATCTTCTCACTGTCCTCCAAAATATACTACAGTGATTCTCACGTTCATGTCCATGCACTCTTACGAATGACTTCTCTTCCAATCCTTTTCAAATCATATTCATTATCACTGAGATCAGAACAAACCCATCTCTTCCACCAACCACCTTGATGCAACTCTTTCCCAGACTCTCTCTCCTCAGAAGTTACTGACTACTCATTATAGTCTCAGGCTCATTTGGATAAACAAATACTACCTTATAGTGTTACACGGTGTGTGAGATTCTCTTACCTTTTATAAGATCTGACAGCTGTCCAAGGAAAGACTTGTGGAGACTTACTCATTTTCCCACCATCCCTAAGTGCCCAATACGGTGCTGAGCCCATGGGAGGCACCCAATTAAATGCCTGGGGAGACTGCTTTTAAAGATGTTAAATTTTAATTATAGCCCTCTTGCTATTATTAAATTCTTGTTCCATGCGATGTGCATTCCACTGTTATTATCTGTGTGTATAAGTCATTTCTAATCTAAAAATTACCTACTTTAATTTAACATGGTTCATTTTTAAGAAACAGACACTCTGGTATTTCAGGGAAAGGGATGTGATGCCTGAGTTTAATCTCTAACAGTATAGAAAAACATTGCGGTGAGCAACAGAGAATGATACATCAAATGGGGTAAAATGTTAACAGTGCTGGCTCTGAATGAAGGACATACAGAGTTCTTCATACAGTTTTTGCTGCTTTTCTTTAAGTGAAATTATTTCAAAATAAAAAGTCAAAATCAAGCTCAGTATTAAATAATTAATAGTTGTGGCAACTTAGCAATTTAGTTTCTTTGCATAATCTTCAAAAAAAATTAAAAAGCACACGATCTTTAGGGGTCAAATATCCAAGTGAGGGCAATGCCTATTTCAATGACCAAAAAAAAAAAAAAAACTGTATCAGTTCACATTAAAAGAAAAACAACAAACCTGATGCTCTAGGTTAACTTTCAGTGGGAATAAGCCAAAATTAAATATTTTTCCTTGTTATTTAAATAAAATGGTATCCTCTATATTTAAACACTTAAATAAAAAATACAAAAAAACGGGGCACTCCAGGTATATGTTTGTGTGTGTCTGTGTGTGTGCATGTCCATGCTGTGAATTTTAGTCTACTCTCGACTGAGACATAAGAAAGCTTTCCATGGATAGATCCATGAATTTTAAGTTCCATGAGGACATGGACCATATTGTGTTCACCTTCATTCCCAGCTCTCAGCAAAGAAATCTGCTGAACCACTTTTTAAAAGATTCTCACTGTTAAGAGCATCCATAGCTGCCCCTGACAGCAAAGAAGTTGTTAACGGCATTTCAGCTCTGTGAACAATTTACAGAATCCATACATTTTACAACCATAAATTTAGAAATTACCTAGCCCAGTTTCCTCGATTTACAGATGAGAGAAAAGAGATCAAGTGAACTTAAATGACTTGTTCCGGGTCCTGCACTGTTGCTGAGCAGCACAACGCAAATCCAATGCATAACCCCAGTCCACAGTGCTTCCACTGCGTTTCACACCACTGTTAGTAACCCCTACACTCTGACTTATACAATGGCAATAAGGCAAAATGATTTCCAAAATTTTTTGCCTGTTCGGCATATGCTTTGATCTTGAAGTAAGACTGAGATAGGCAACAACAGGCACACAAATTATAACCAATTTCTCAGTCTTTCATAGTCACACAAGAGTTTTCAAAAACACCAATACAAGTATGCTATAAATACTGTTTCACTAGCATTAGTGAATTCTAAGTATGTAAAATAGTAACAAAAAAGACAAACATGCTTTTAGAAAAAGCTTACAGAGGTACCTGAATGTTTTTTGAGGACTCTTGCCAATTCTTCAATAGTTCGTACACAGTCCAATCCCTGCAAGAAAAATGGCACAGACTACTGAATCCAAGGAAGACAGGTTCCTAACCCGGCTATAAACAGCTTCCTTTACCTTCAGGAACAATGAAACTAATTTCCACTCGTTCTATACACATTTTCCCTTCCAGGTGACCATTGGTCAGTGTTCATAGTTAATATCCTAAGGATACAAAAGCCCCATTCACCTGACTTACTAATTGCTTTTGGTAGTGCAACAAAGGCTGAAATCAGAGCCCCCAGAAAAGCCTCTGCACCATTGAGAACCTCTATTTTTTCCCCTCTATATAATTCTGTCACTCAGAAGTACCCTATGTGCCAGAGTAAGTCAGAGGGAGCACCTGTGCCCTGTCGCATTCATTCTGGGTAGACTTTCCTTACAGCTTAAGAGCTGACGAACTGCTGTGGAGTGTGATTGGCTCAGATTATTTCTCTATAGTACAAGCCAAAAATATGAAGCACAAAATCAAAGCCATAGAGCAAATCTGAACAATACTTCAAATAGATCATACTAAAAACACTTGGGCTGACCCTTTTGAACATAAGCCCTTTTGACGGTTATATACATCCCAGAATATACTTAAAATTTTATTTTAGAAATGCCCTCAATACTAGTTTATAAATCATGTAAAAATTCAATCTTGATGATGTACAATAAAGTCATTCCATACATCAGACTCAATTTTGCTTATCCACCTTATTCACCAAAGTCAGGCTAGATAACTCTTGGCTGTTTTCTCAAATCAGATACATCCTCAAACGACAAAGACTTGAAACTAAGAAAAGGCATAACACCTTGAGCAGCAGCAGCCTCACCCACTTGGATAGACAGCATTTGGACTCTTGTTGAAAATAAGAGAAAGAGTAGGGATTCAGTACTTCTCAGACTTTATACCTCTTCTCAGTATTTTATATTTTCATAAACACCTTCATGTCCATTAGGGCTGGCAAACCTTTTCTGCTCTAGGGGCCCTAAGGCCTGCTGCAACTACTCAACTCTGCAGTTACAGAGCGAAAGCAGCTCTAAGACAAAAAGGAAACGAAGGGGTGTGGCTGTATTCCACTAAAACTGTATTGACAAAACAGCCAGTGGGCTGAATTTAGCCCGTGCGCCATAGTTTGCTGACTCCTGACATACGTGATCCAAGCTGATATGCACAACAATCTCCTGAGGCAAGAGCATCGGAAGCGATCATTTCCATTTATAAACTATCAACCAAAGACCACATGTTTAGGGACTGACGAAACCAAGTTTGTCTCGAATCCAGGTCTGTGGACTGTAAAGTTAAATTGTACCATTGCCTGCCTGCCAAAAACCTTTTCGGAAGACTTTATGTGGGTGTATATATCTAAGTTAGCCTCATGGCCATGCCAGTGAGACACTGGAGTGGCTGGTTTGGCTTTCTAGGATCCCCAGATGTTGATTTAAATATTCTTTGTACTACAGGTTGAAAGTACAAGCCTTTCTAACTCCTCACATTCACCACTAAACTTCTTAACGTATTTGGCTAGAGAGATTCTGCCAAACGGCATACTCCATATGATATGCCCTGATGAATTTGGAAAATACCAAGCTGTACTGTCAGTCAAGATTGTCAAATCACACTGCCACAGCAAATGCAAGTTTTATGTGGTCACTGTACCTCAGCAGTTTCAAGTCCATTAATTGTCATACAGACGTCAAGGTCACTCTGTTTGAACCCAAATCCATTTTTGGAGGAGCCAAACAAGCTCAATTTAGTTCCTGTTAGGGATATATGAAAAGTAATAACTAATTACCTGAGTACATTTAATTTTCTGATCAAAACGGCCCTCTCATGAATCAAAAATACCCAGTTGTTAACTACCTCTATTAATCTTATTATAATTATGTTCTCTTATTAACAGTCATTAATCATAAATTATTTCCTCTCAAAATTTACTTTAAATACAAGCTGTATGTGGCATGAAAGATTACAAAGCAGTATTTTATTCTTAAATGAAAGGACATTTCAAGGAAATATGGATCACCTCAACATATTTAATAAACTTACTACTTTCTAAATGAATTTACTTTTTAGAGGTGTGAACTTTGACTCTAAACATAATAATAAATGATATTCACTTGTGGTGTCTGCTAAGAGAAATCCCAGACTCAGGTGTCTCCTGTTGGCATACTAGCAGTGGGCAGACCAAAGACTGTGTCAGGTATCTCACGGAACAGCTAAGCCTTGTTCCCACCATCATGCAAGATTATTTGATTTTCAAAATTAGTGTGCTTGGAACACATGGACTCATTCGGAAGGGAGGTCACGATGCCTTTCCTTTCTTAAACGTAAAAAATGATTTACCTGGAAACTCCTGTCTTATGAAACTTTCTAGGTTTTGCCGAATATGTTCACGAGCCTGATCTTCTAAAATAGTTGGAGAAAAATCCTCTGTTTAAAATAAATAGAAACATTCAGAAACATTGTTCACATTCTCTGAAAAAACTGTATTTTTTATAAAATAAAACCTAACAAGCTTAAAAAAAACCACCCTAAATTGTGTGTCCTCTCAGTAGACAGCACTAGTAATGTAAAATAAAGAGAATGTCTTTTTAAAAACGTCTATCACCGAGAACTGCTTCTGCAACAGAAACGAGCCTGAGCAGGGGTTCTGTAGATGGGTTCCACAGAGACTCAGGCCTCTAGACAATGGCCTCAGGGAACTACCCTGGGGTTTGAACACAAAAGTCTGTGAGCATGTACATATATATTTTTTCTAAGGAGAACCTGTAGTTTCTTTTCTATAATCTCCAAAATGGTTTAAAAAAAAGTCACTGGTTAAGAACCAGTGTCTTCTGGCACAGACAGACATCTTAAGATGTGGCTAGGCGCCTTAGGTTCTTCCACTAAACAGCTGCATGCCGCTCCTTTAAATGTTTTTTCTTTGTAGAACTTTAAACTTCTCTATTCCAATGCTTCCCCAAACCGGTGCTCCTTAAAGGGCTGTTACATAGGCTATAAATTAGCATTATTTAAAAAGTATTCTATGCTCCAATTTTGGAAATGTTGGATTTAAGAGTAAAATAGGTTTTTAACCATAACATTTCTCAGAAGCTTTATTATGCTAATGTGCTCTGTGACTCTTTAAGGGAGGGGCAGTATGTAGTTATTCCCTACTTGACCTGTGGAATACTTCTTGTCATGAAATACTATTAACTATACCTGGAAAAACATTTCAAAGAACACCAGCTGGAAAATGCTAGTATTCTAATCTTAAGACTTAAAAGATCCTCCCTTCTTGTCTTTCTTGAACAATTATTTATTGTGTGTCTCAAATGGAACAGGACACATAGAATACAGTGGAGAAAATGGAGAATGGAAGAGACTTTGTCCCTGTAATGGAGCTAACAGGCTAGTGATTCAGATCACTCTTGAGAAAATGTCAATTTAATATTCTGACAAATCAAAAGTAATGTTAATAACTTACTATAACACTGGATGCAAACTTGATCTAAGATATTTGAAAATTTGGGTGTTAATGGTGGCAAAGGTTCCAGCTGGATTCTTTTGAAGTCTTCGGGACAGTCCTTCTTTAGATGACCCTCTCGTTTGCATAAACTGCATACTACCATAGGAGACTGCAGGAAGATGGCAAAGCAGAACAAGACTTAAGATAAAATTTTATTTGCCAAATAAAGGGGTCTTGAATCTCTTTTTAAAAGTACACAGTCCAATTATGGAGATTTCTCAAAAAATTAAACAGAAATACCATATGACCCAGCTATTCCACTACAGGGTATTTATCCAAAGAACAGGAAATGAATAATTCAAAAAGATATATGCACCCCATGTTCATCGCAGCATTATTCACAACAGCCAAGATGTGGAAGCAACCGAGCGTCCATCAACGGATGAATGGATAAAGGAGATGTGGTATATATATCGAATGGAATACTACTCAGCCATAAAAAAGGACAAAATTGTGCCACCTGCGGCAACATGGATGGACCTTGAGGGTATTATGCTGAGTGAAATAAGTCAGATGGAGAAAGACAAATATTGTATGATTTCACTCGTATGTGGCAAATAAACACATGGATAAGGAGGACAAACGAGTGGTTACCAGAGGGGAAGGGGGTGGGGGAGGGCGAAAAGGGTAAAGGGGCACATGTGTAAGGTGATGGATGAAAACTAGACTACTGCTGGTGAACATGATGCAGTCTACACAGAAACTGATATATAATAACGTACACCTGAAATTTACACAAGTTATTAGCCAGTATGTCCTCAATCAAATAATTTTTAAAAAAGTTTACTTTTTTTAGTTTACTCTTTACTTCCGAAAGGAATGAAAATATAATGTGCAGCCTCTCCAAACTATCTGAGATGGGGATACCTTATGGGAAACTCAGGAGAAAAAGGCAGTTATTTTCACTGTCAACAGCATTGCCTTTCTTCTATGCAAATCCCCACCAGTCTAAGGAGGGAAGTGGACCAAGTGGTTGTACTGGAGTGAAAGACCAACTTCTTAACCGTTACTAAAACAGGGGAGAGCCCTGTTCTAGTAAAACTGAAATTACATGCACTAAAATGATGCCAAGTCTCCTAGTTCTACATCTAGGAGTGGCACTGATTACCTTGCCTTTGGTGAAGGTGAGTTTACTAAATTCATAGAAGAAATCAGACTGATGCACAGCTGAATTTTCCTCATGTACGTTTTCTTCTTTAAGACTGATTTTATTAAGTTCCATTAGTAGAGCTCCATCTACATGTTTTCCACTTTGTTTCAAGTCTTCATACTTAGCAGACCTGCCTAATTCCTCATCCTCTTCAGACAAGGCATCTTCATCCCCTGATCCAGTGTAGATATTGTCTAACTCATCTTCATTAGCAATATCATCCTCATCTTCCCTTCGGGTAACAGAGAGCCTGGGTTCTTCATCCTCCTCCTCCTCTTCTTCCTCCTCCTCCTCTTCATCGGAGTGAATGATTCCTGACGTCCTGCCCTGTCTTGAAGGGGCAAAGTGGCTTAGCGTGTCTTCGAGATCATCAGTACCTTCCATGCTTTCTTCATCAACATCAGCCTTGCCATCTAAAGAAGCATATCCATCACACTCTTTAGCCGTAGGATTTTGGAAGCCTTCTAAATCCAAAGTGCTGTCTGTGTCATCATTTTGTGTGCTGCCACACATGACAAGCTCTCCATGTTTGCTACTGCTTAAAGCTTGAATGGTGGCAGTCAGAAGATGCTTCTTGCTCTCCCTTTTAATTTTTTCTTTCCCAGTTTTACCTCCTGTTTCTTGATGGTGTACTTTAATATCTTCATAATCATCACAACCGACCTCTGCCTTGATACAATCTGAGTTTTCCAGATGGACACTGACGTGTGCATTTCCCATTTCCTGTGTTGGCGGGCTTTCAAAGCTCGCAGCAGTCCCTTTAGGAGTAAGTGACTGTACCTTGCAGGTGTTTGCAGTTGAACTGGCAGCACCAGAACCTTGAGCTAAAATTGAGTTTTTGAGCCTATCATCTTTTACTTGCACAGCTGGATCACGCTTTGCTACTTCTTTAGAATGTTCGGAAATGCACATAACAGTACTCAGAGGCTTTGGAAGGCTGGATTTTGTAATTTTATGTGGAAGAGCAAAATATTTATATGTTGTCCTTAAACAATGAAGTATATATTCAAACACGGGTTGATTATTTAGGGTCCTTGCCACATTTCTTTTAACAGAGTATGGATCTGTAACAACAACAAAAAAAATCCACCACTTCATACATTTCTATTTCATGTTTTAAAAATGAGCCTGCTATAGATAAAAATAGACAACTAGTAAACAATAGTAAAATTTAGCATGTATCTTATATGCTTTTTAAAATATTGGGGATGGAGAATAAAAAGATATAGTTTAAGAACAAAAAGGAATGTTTTCTTATCAACATCTGCTCTATGAAGAGAACCCATTCTGTTCAGAAACAATACCCCTTCCCTATTTTGTTCTGTGACTGTGGAGGTAAAAAAGATGTCATTAGTGTGGCTCTTGTGCCCTCGGGAAGGCAGGTCTTCCCGCCAAGCTCTGCTGAGTGCTCTGCCTCCCACTCAGCCAGGCCCTGTGGTTTGTAGAGCTTACCTCCACTCTTCTGCCCTGGGAAGCCCCATCACTGAACTGCTGGACTGAATTCAGGGGCGAGAGGGAGGCACCAGGAGGAGACACCACTTCTCTCAATCTTTTCTCCTCCCCTAGAACTCCAGCAGGTTAGGCAATTGGCCAGAAGAGCTGAGCCAGAGAAACTGCAGGGGAGGGTTTAAAAATGTGAGATCCCCATGACTGCACACAGAATTTATGCAAAATGCAAAAAAACTCTCTTATGCAATACAAAGCTTGAAAAAAAATCAAGCAAAAATAAGAGAATTCCATTTAGGAGGTTCTTTAAGTTATTTGAAGGAGGAGAATTAAGATTTCTAGAGGGGTTTCAACCTCCTGACTTTGCAAAGCTGAGAAGAGCTAGTCCATTTAATGAAGTCTACAGGGCACATCAGTGTGTCTTTTATGCAATGGTTTCAGTTCAACGAGCCTTCACTAGAGAAAGTGTTTTTTATGAACAAGTTCTAAATTTTACTGCAAATATTCCGAAAATAATTATCCTTTCTCTCTATGGAGAGGAATTCAACAAAGAATGTTATTTTTCACGAGAAAAAGTATTTTCTCATCTTTGTAAAACTAAACAACATCAACAACAATCCATAAAAGAACTGAATCTAAAAATCCAGAAATAAGAACAGTAAGGAAGAAAGGGGATTCACGCATCACTGGGAAAAAACTTAAGCATTTAAGTTATTAAGCAATTTACAAAGAAAGCAAGGACTCAGCCAGCCATTATTTTAGTTATTGAAGTAATGAAGATGTTTCACTGCAGCACTTAAAACATTCAGGAAGAACAGTTTCGTCCCTTGCAAAGGTCCACTGTAACACGTGCAAGATGCTAACTATTTATTTCACTTTTGGGGTCAGGCCTACCTTATATGAAGGAGCTGAAAAGAAACTGAAATGAAAAGCATGCTGTTAGACTGGTAGCTTAAAAAAACGGAATTAAACATTTTGAGATACCTTCAATAGCAATGCGCTTTTTGGGCCAATCCTTCGATTCACGAGATATTGATTCTTTGACACGGATGCTTATCACTAAATCAGCCAAATTAAACTCTAAGGCATAGAATCGAAGCAACTCCACCCAGAGCTGCCCAACTGGTACGGAAGGCTGGTGTTTTAAATCGAATGTTAATGATACCTATTAATAGCAGAGAAAACATACAGGTTATTGCAGATGTCAGCAGAATCTGAAAAATCAGAGATCATTCAAGCATCAAACTAAAAAAATCTGAAAAGCCTTAGCAAAAGACAGGAATCTGACACTCCATCTACATAAATCACAGTCTAGGTTCTATTTTGCTTGTGGGAACACAGCTTCCCTTCACTGGCCTCCTGGGATTAGTTATGGTAAAATGCAGTCACCACCACAGGAACAGACAGGCAGCACTCCTTGTTCCGAAGTCTTAAGGACGGGGGAGAACTGTGCGTGGACTGCTACAACCCAGCACTGAGCTCTCCGTCACTGCCGCCGGAGGGCGCCTTCAGTGACACACACGGACGCGGGCAGCAGCTAAAGGGGCAGAGCAAAAGGAAAACACTCCTCTCATTTTGAGAAGCTAGTAAGTTCACTGCATCTGCCCGTGGCAACTGATTTTAAAGTCAAATAACTCTTGATATCAGAGATTGAGACTAGTTTTACATTCACAGACTCTTGAGAAATTGGAACATACAGTGATGTAACGTATTGGAAAGTGCATAGAATTTAGAATAGAAAAATAATTGGTTCAAATACTGATTCTGCCACTTCACAGCTCTTAACTGCCCTGTGACTTAGCTTCTTCGTCCTCAAACTGGCAGTACAGCACAGTGGCTGAGAGAACTGGCTTTGGAATTTGACACTTTAAGCATGAAATCCAGTTCTGCCATGTCCTAGCTGTGTAGCATCCTGGTCAAGGTACACTAGCTGTCTAAGCCTCGGTTTCCTCATCTGAACAATGGGGATCACAGTACCCACCTCATAGGGTTGTTGGGAGGACTGAGTGAGAGAGTATCTGTAAAGAGCTTAGCACAGTGCCTGGCACACATGTTCAAAAAATGGTCGCTATCATTATCTGCAGAGTAGGGATGATACCACCTATAACACAGGATAGTTACGTGGATTAAATCAGAAACAAGGGAACGCATCTGGCAGACTTGGCTGCTTTCTGTATTTTTTCACTTAGGTATAGGCTTTTAAGAACAAGAAATCCATTTGTCATTGAAACATAAGGTCACAACTGTAAGATGCTCTGAAGAGGTAATCTAGTTCAACTCCCAAATGTTACAAGAGAAGGATCTGAAGCCCAAAGGGTTGACGTGCCTTGTCAAAGGTCCCCCTGCTTGTGAGTGGTACAATGAGAACAACATCCCCCGAGCCCAGCACAGTGCGCTCTCACCACGCCACGCAATCTAGACACTGTCTAGATCTCAACTTCAGAAGTGGCCGCATGATTAATCTCTCCAAGTAGCATGAGAGTGTAGAGATAAAGTATTTAATTGGACTTACGGCAATACCTTTTCCTGCTAAGATATACAAACTTGTTTCCAATCACACTTTTTTGCATCAAGCTTCAAAACAGATGGTATGGTATTTTATTAACTATTAAATCTCAACCACAAAGGTTCTGTCAAATAATATAATCATTGAGTGGATTTACAAAGCAGAAGTGATTGAAAATGGAAGTTGTCTAGGTTCCAATAGTATAGTTGAGGACAAAAAGAAAACCTCCAGAAATTGAAAGCCTCTTAAATTTCACCTCTTTATCCATAGCCTTACTCAGCATTACCAAGGACTTTTAAGCATCTCACTGAAATGACTTGATAATACCGTAACATGGAACTTAAGAGATCTTCAACATATCTAGAGTAATGGTACTTAAGCTGTTTTTTTTTTATTGGTTTTGCAAAGTAGAGAACATTTTCAAATAAAGTAAGAAAAGCAGCTAACAATTACTGAGTGCTTACCACATGCTTGGCACTGAGTTAAGCATTCTATAAATCAATGACTCTATGAGAGGTAGCAATATCATCCCCATTTATAGGTGAGGAAACTGGGACATAGGAGGACTGAGTCGCTTGCCCAAGGACACACAGCTAGGAAGTAGGAGAGCTGGCATATAAATTCACATATTTTGGCTCCACAGCCTGTGCTCTTATCCACTACCAGAACCCAAAATATAACACCACATAAAAGTGATGCTGTTTTGGTGGCAGCAGGGGTAGAGTGGCACCACCTCCCTCTCCCCCGCAATGCTCAAGGATTCTAGAAAACGAAACTGCAGAATCTAGGATTCACCACTAATTCCTCATTTTGGCATGGATTGGAGGAGTGACATGACTTTTTTGTGTAGAGCTGGGATTAGAACCCTAGTCTCAGTATTTTGTGGATATTATTGTCATTTCACCCCACAGGGTTAGGTGATGGGGTCAGGAACCATTCACCAATTTGAGACAGAATATGATTTTTATTACTAGTATAATTACATTGCTCAGATTTTTGTTTGAAATTCAAATGGGAATTCTTTCCCTGTGCAAATTCTGACCCCTAATGGGATGGATGAGGACAAGTACTTTAAACCATGTACTTATTCACTGTTAGTTCAGTAATTTGAGGTTAGTTACCTTTTCATATATTTAATGCTTAGAACACCATATAAGATCTTAGCTCTCTGAGGACAGATAGGGATTTACCTTTGAATTCTTAATATCTTTCACAGGACCTTGCAAACAGTGAATTTAATGCTCTGAATTTTACCTTTTCTCGTTACCTGTCTATTCAAAGGACTGAATAGACCAGGAAGTGAAACATCCATGAAATAGTTGATGTAGGTGAGGAAAGAAGAGGGCTCATTAGCTCATAAACTCGACAATGGACAACTGAATTAAAAATAGATGGTAAAATGAGAAATGAAAGAGAACAGACCTGTCCCCTTTTAACGGGCACTTCTTTTGGTGCCTCTTCTTTTGCTGTGTCTGTGTCCTCTGCAGCATTATCACTGTATTCCCAAAGCACAACGTCTTTCTGAATGTCTTTAAGGTTGAAGTTTCCTAGTTTGTTTAATGAGAATCCTTCAATCTAGGAAAAATTAGACACATAGTATCATGAGGTAGAAAATTTTATATTAATCAGAGCATCTTAACCCTGGAAGAAATGAAAAAATAACATAGTTCATTAAAAATACTAAGGGTATCATTCATGGACTGTCTCTGAGACATTTGTAAATTTAAAAATATTTTTTAAAGTAAAAAATAAGGTTTTGATTAGCAAAAGAAATGGTGACTTTGTGATATAATTATTTAGTAAATAGTCTAAGAGAAGGCAACATGGCCTAGGGCTAAGGCCATGGGCTCCAGAGTAAAACTGCCTGGGCCCAGATCTCAGCTCCCTAGTGCACCAGCTGTGAGACCTTCAGCAAGGCACTCACTCTCTTTAGGCCTCAGGTTCCTGGGAAAAGGGCTACCCTAGAACCTCCCTCATTGGATGGTGTGATATGAAATAATGGACATAAACCATTCAGATACAAGGTAGGGCACACAGTAAATGCTCAATAAATGTAAGAAAGGATTTCTATTGATGTAATAAGATGCAAATTGCTAAGGAAAATAGTCTGGGCTCAGATGATCTAAGAAATGTGGAAAAACTTGAAGAGGTTTCTTTATTGTACAATAGGATTTATCACAGCCTTTAAACAGGTTAATGTACATAATGAATTGTGGGGTGGGGTGTGGATGTGGTACCCCATTTCCCAAATGTACTTACACTACTTCTTTGTTTTAGCAGAGTAATCCTTCTAAAACCCAAGACATCATGTCGCTCCCCTGATAAGTTTCCTTCTCACTCAGGATGAAACTCACAGTCCTTTCCAGGGCCCAGGCAATCCGCCCTTTGCTACTCCTCTGACCCATCTCGAGACATTCTCCCAGCTCGGAGCCAACGTCGGCTCTTCCCTCCACCCATCAGCTATCCCCCTCTCCCTCACTGTAGTCAGGCTCTGCTCAAACATCTTTTTCTCTAAATAGCTCCTCCCCTTTCACTCTGTCCTTCTTACCCTGGTTTACTTTTCCTTAGAGAAACTACCACCACTTGATAGTACTTACCTGTTTCACCCCATTAGACCTATGAAAGGGAAAAGATTCTCTTTTGCTCGCCGCTCTCACTCCAGCATCCTGGCACAAGCTAACTGCTCAGGACGGATTTGCTGACTGCCTGAATAAACCACTCTCCTGCAGAAAACACTTTGGAAATACCAGGTGTGGTGACTCTTAGATGTACATATTCAGTATTTTCTTCAGTTGTTTTTGTTTTCTTGATGGTTCTTGAGGAGTAAAAGCTCTAAAGTTTGACAGTTAAATTTATAAAATCCCCAGAAGAAAACCTAGGAGAAAATCTTCGCAGCCCAAGGATAGGCAAGGATTTCTTAGGTAGAACACTAAAAGCATAAACTGTATCAACAGAAAAGAATATTGATAAAACTTTTATGTTTACGTCTTTGATCTATTTTGAGTTAATTTTGGGGTACGCTGTGAGGTAAAGATTTGATGTTCATTTTTTTCCTTATAGATACCTAGTGTTTCCAGCATCAACTGTTGAAAAGACTTCCCCCCAATGAAATGCTTACGCACCTTTGTTGGAAAAGAAAGGACCACCAGAGATGAAAACAATATTGATGCTTCCAATCCATAGCCTTGTTATGTCTCTTAGTTACCTACATTCTTAATTTTTCTCAGCAACGCTCCAGTTTTTAGTTTAGAAGTCTTGCACATCTTTTGTCAAACTTACTTGTAAATATTGTATGTTTTCAAGCACTACTGTTAACGGAATTTTTAAAAACAATTTTTCAATTGTTTGCTGCTAATATAGAAAAGCACAATTGATTTTTGCACATTAACTTTGTATTCTATGATCTTACTCAATTTACTTCTTAGTTCTAGCTGTTTTGTAGTTTTCTGAGGATTTTCTATGCAGACAATGATGTCACCTGCAAATAGAGAAACTTTTACTTCTTCCTTTCGGATTTTTATTGCTTTTTCTTTTCCTTCCTTTTTGTATTGGTCAGGACTTCCTGTAAATGTGGAATAGGAATAGTGAGGGGGATATCCTTTTTTGTCCCCAATGGCACAGGGATAATGTCCAGGATTCCAACATTAAGTATCACATAAACTGTAGATGTTTTTCAGATGCCCATTTTCAGGCTGAGGAAGTTCCCTTCTGTTTCTAGTTTGCAAAGAGGTTTTCTTTTTGTTTTTCAAATCATAAACGAGTGTTGCATTTTGTCAAATGTCCCTCCCCCCCACCACATCTACAAATGATCATACGGCTTTTCTCCCTTATTCTGTTAAAATGGTGAATTATATTGATTTTCAAATGCTAAATCAACCTTGTATTCCTGGGAGAAGCTCCATTTGGTCATAATATCTCTGTTTTAGCATATTTCTGAGTTGATTTGCTAATATTTTGCTAAGGGTTGCAGTGTCCATGCTGATGAGGGCTATTGGTATATAGCTTTCTTTTCTTTTGTCTCATTTTGGTATAAGGGTACTGCTGGCTTCTTATTTCTCCTCTTCATTTTCTGAAAGAGTTTGTGTAGTTGGCATTCTTTCTTTCTTAAATGTTTGACAGAATTCACCAGTAAAGCCATTTGGGTCTGGAGTTTTCTTTTTAGGAAGGTTTCTAATTACAAATTAAATTTATTTAGTGGATAAAGGGCTATTCAGGTTATTTTTTTCTTCAAAGCTCTTTTTTGTATTTAGTCTTATATGGATATGCCCATCTTATCTAAGTTTTCTCATTTACTGGTATAAAGTTGTTTAAACACTCTCTTCTTTCCATCATTTATGTCCATAAGAGCTGGAAAGATAACCCCTCTTCACTCCTGATATTAATTTGTGTTCTCTCTTCTTAATCAGTCCATCAGGAGTGTATCAGTATTGTTGATGAAATAAACTGTTTGGTTTTCTTAACTTTCTCTATTGTCTATTTCCTCTTTATTGATTTTGCTCTTATCTTTATTATTTCCCAGCTTCAATTTACTTTTGAGTTTATGTTGCCCTTTGATTTCTAGCTTCTTGTGGTTAAAATTTAGGTCACTAATTTTAGACTTTTCTTCTTCTTCTTAAATTTCAAACCTATAAATTTCCAAGTGAACACTATTTTAGTTGCATCTCACAAATTTTGATGTGTTGTATTTTTATTATTACTTAGTTCAAAATATTTTCTAATTTCCCATGTGATTTCTTTGATCCTAGATTACTCAGAAGTGTGCAATTTAATTTCCAAATATATTTGATTTTCCTAATTATCTGTTATTGATTTCTAACTTAACTCCATTGTGGTTGAAGAACACACTCTATATGATTTCAATCCTTTTAAATGTATTGAAACTTCTTTTATGAACTAGCATATGGTCTGTCTTGGTGAACGTACAAGATGCACTTGAAAAAAAAATGTGTATTCTGCAGTTGTTGGGCAAAGTGTTCTATAAATATTAATTAGATCCAGGTGATTAATAGTGTCTATTGAATCCCTTATGTCCCCACTCATTTTCTGTTTAGCTAACACATGAGTCAACTGCTGAGGGTGTGTTCAAATCTCTTACTCTGATGGTGCAATGGATTCCATCAATTTTTACTTCACGTATTCTGCTGCTCTCTTAATAGATGGAAACATTTATGATAGTTTTTTGTCTTCCTGACGAGTTGACACTATCATAATGAAATGTCCCTTTTGGTCTTTGGTAGTATTTTTTTCTCTTGAAATCTATCTCAACTGGTATCAGTATAGCCTTGGTTTGACTTTATTCTTTTTTCCCTAGCTTTACTAGGTATAAGTGACAAAAGCTTATAGATTGCATATATTTAAGGTGTACAATGTGATTTGATAGACATATTGTGAAAGGATTGTGAAAGGATTATTTGGTGGTTTCTGATGAGCATTTGGCCATCATTCAAATCACTGTTCTTTTATGCAAGGTGTTTCTTCGGCTGCTTTTAAGTTTTGCCTTTTATTTTGGTTGCCAGCAGTTTCACTATGATGTGCTAGGCATGCTTCTCGTTGAATTGATCTTGCTTGAGGTTTGCTCAGCTTCTTTAGTCTGTAAGTTTATGTCTTTCATTAAATTTGGGAAGTCTCTGCCTGTTTTTTATTGCCTGTCCCATTCTTTTCTTCCTCTCCTTTCTGGGACTCAAATTACCCATAGGTTAGACTTTTTTTGAAAATTGTCCCAGAAGTCTCTGAGGCTCAGTTATTTTTTTTCAAACTTTCTTTCTCTTCTTCAGACTAGTTTCTATTAAACTATTTTCACATTCACTGACTCTTTCCTATGCCATCCCCATTCTACTATGATGCCTATCCAGTAAATTTTTTATTTAAATTAACGCATTTTTCACTTCTAAAATTTCCACTTGGTTTTTTACATTTTCTATTTTTCTGGCTGATAGTCCCTTTCTCTTCATTTACTGTAGTATATTTCCTTTATCTTATGGAGCATAGTTGCAATAACTGCTTTAAAGTCTTTGCCAGTTCTTGCATCTGGGTCATCTTGCGTTTAGCATCTGTTGATTTCTTTTCCCTTGAGAATGGGTCCCATTTCCCTGGCTCTTTGTATGTTAAGCAATTTTGGATTGCATTATGGATATTATGATACTGTACTGTATTATGAAAATTCTGGATTTTTGTTATTCCAAAACGTGTTGATACTTTTGTTTGACACGTAATTAACTCAGTTAGACCAATTGCAGATTTGTCAAATCTCCAGTGGACAGTGGCTCCAACCTCGGTTGTTTTCTAAGACTTAGCTCTTAACTGTTTTTAGATTGTTTCACATGTGTGGTTTAGAAGTGCATCATTACTTCCAGAAAATTCTCAGTTATTATTACTTCAAATCTCTCTTCTGTTCCTTTCTTTCTTATCTTTCTGGTATTCCCATTATCCATGTATTACAACCCTTAGTAATGGTCCTGCAGTTCTTAGAAATTCTGTTCCATTTCTTTTTCAATCTTTTTTCCCTTTTTGCTTTTCAGTTTGGGAAATTTCTACTGAATAAAGCTCACTGACTCTTTCCCCAGCTGTGTCCAGTCTACTGATGAATCCATCAAAGGCATTCTTCATTTCTGTGATAGTTTTTATTTCTAGTATTTCCTTTTGCCTCTCAGAGTTTGCATCTCTCAGCTTATATTACCCATCTGTTCTTGCATGTTCTCCATTAATGTGCCCTTAACATATTAATCTTGGTTGTTTTAAATTCCTGGTCTGATAATTCTAATGCTTGCTCTGTCTCTTCCAAACTATGTTTTTTGCCTTTTAGTATGCCTTGTAATTTTTTTTGCTGAAGCTGGGTATGATGTTCTGGGTCAAAGGAACCGAGGCAGACAGGCCTTCAGTGTGAGGTTTTATTTATCTGACCAGGAGTTAGGCTATGTTTACTGTTCATTGTGGACGTAGATGTAAAGAGGCTAAAACTTTGTCTGGTGTCTTTTTTTTGTCTTCCCTGCTATCTTTGGGTTTCCCAAGAGATTTCTTGTTGAAAACGACGTCTTTCCATTGTACTACCAGTATACAGGAGCCTGAATGACGTGGCAGTAAGGTGTGGGAGAGAAGCCAATCTGTAGTCCTATGATGCTGGGTATTTTTCCTCCCCCTAGGTCGATTAGGCCCTGGTAAAACAGTCCCTCGAGGACAGGCTTTTGTTTAGGGGGACAGAATGCTCTGGGCATATTTCAAAATGGCTACCTTTCCCCTCATGCTGCCAAAAGCTTGAGGGAATTTTTCTTGCCTCTTCACCCTGAGAACCTGGTTGGGGTTCCTGGAGGTAAAACTCATGAAACCACTGGGGGTCCCCCAAGACTGGGCCCCCCTTGTTTTTTTTCACTCTTAAGTTTGTCCAAACTGAGCCTCTAGAATCACAGTCTAAGTCTTCCTACCCTCATATTGGCTGCAGCGGCAGGACTCTGCTCCTGGGCTCCATGCTAGCAAGTGATAATTCACTGTCTTCACCTCTCTCTCCCATTTTGGGGGCAGGAGTTTTCCCCACGACCTCAATTCTCTGATATAGCTAAGAAGGGTTGTTGATTTTCAGTTTATTCAGCTTTTTTCTTTTTGTGAGGATGGAGTGACAACTTCCAAGCCCCTTACATGACAAACCAGACGGGCTCAGGAGTTAGTCAGAGATGTGCTGAGTTCACAGACAATTAAGGGTTCCACTTCTTGGTATCTTTCCTTTCTGGGTTTTTTCCCCCTTATTATCTGGTGGCCCTAGTTCCTCTAGCCAGAAAGAAGACCAGTTTTTCTACTAGAGTTGACTTTAAGGGTGAAGCCACAGAAAAACAAAAACTCACTCTGTGTTGACCACTTGCTCCAAGTTTTGACTTCCCTCCAAAGTCTGCCTGCATTTGTTTGGTTTCCAGAACCTTCACGTTGTTATTTTTTTTCTATTTTTTCTGAGAATTTATAGCTGTTTCCAGAAGGATAATTTGGTGAGGAGTCCATGCCTCCAGACCATAAGTGGAACTTGACTTTTTATTGAAGGTGAAAAGGACCACACTTGTTCTCTGACCTTGTTCCAGGAGCTTTACATTCATAATCTCATTTCAAAATTTTTCAGATGAGGATACTGAGGCTCAGAGATTAAATGACTTACTCTAGGTCATAAGATATTAAGTGGCAAAACCTGGATGAATCTCATGGCTGCCAAACTTTAAAACTACTGTTCTTTCTATTATAATATCTGGCATCTTTAAAGTGTAAATAACTGTTTGCTAAAGGTTGAGTTTATATAATCCAAAATAAGGCAGATTCCAAATAATATCTATTAGGAAACTAGTAAAATTTGTTGTAGGGGATAAAAGATGCTAAGACAGGGTTAAACCTCTTCATCATTCACAATTCACCATGATTAACTTTAATCATATCAAGGTCTAATGACAATAAAATGGGAATTTTAATTGGGAATAAAAGGTCAGAGAGGACAGTCTCCAACACGGAACAGATCTGAGTAGGCTGGAAAGGAATGGCCAAAAGATTCCTGAAAGACAGATTAGAGCACAGAGGTGTGACACTCTAAACTTCTCAACAGAGAATTCAGCCTCGTTCATCTGTGATTTCCCTTCAGGGCCTAATACAATGACTAACATACACAGTGCTTTAAGATTTCAAAAGAATTGACAGTTTAGATACTTTCATACACATGATTTTAAAGTCTTCAATGAATTTTCTGCAGAAATAATGGATATAAAATACCTGGCATGAATAAAGTACTGAATAAATATTAATTCCTTTCCCCTTACTTGCTTTACATTTTTGACTAAGACTCTGGCAGAAGCCACCACATCGATGCCTGCTCCATTTTAAATGCTGAAAACTGCAGATCATTTTGTTTTAGGTAGCAGAGTTTCCCTTATTTGATTCATAGAATTCAACCCAGTGTTTGGCCACCACATATCTGTTTTTGTCATTAAATCTTAAATAAACGGTATAATCAAAATCAAATTCAGTGTCACTTTAGAGAATTTCCAGTATCACTGCTAAGGAAATAATGCATGGGCCACAGAAAAGAGTATTCATACAACTCTAAGCAAATCCTGAGGAGAATCTCACCACCAGAATAGAAATGCCTTTTTTCCTGCAGCCTCACATCAATGACAGATGACTAACCAGAGGTGATCAGGACAGAAGAAAAGGCAGATCTCACTAAGACGGTGGTGAGCATGACTACACATCCGATCACTTCTGGGGACCTTCTGGGCATAGGAGTCCACCTGGAGGGGTTCCACCCTACACTCTTGTCTCTCTTGGATCAAAGTGAAAGGCAAACTTGCAAGGCTTTCATAGCTACCTACTTGGGTCCAAGAGGAAGGGTTATTTATCAACCAAGGGCTGACTTCGTTATCTCACTCTTGTTTCCACCAGGAGAGGGGTCTAGCAGATACCTTCTCCGGGCCTGAATTCTTTCATTTCAGCACCACAAGCATAGAGAGAGATCCCTTTAGACAACTGGGACACACAGCAGACTGCAACCCCTTACGCCAGGACAGATTTTATAAGGGGCTTATTCTGCCCTAGTCGTTACTCCCAGGGCCTGGCAGGTAAAGGTCTCTGCTTAATTCTCAACCTATTAAGTATGAAGAAAAAATCCCCTACAACTGTATTTCTTTGATATGTACCCATAGTGAAGAAAGACTGCTCTGGAACATACCCTCTTAATGATGAGAATCCCGTGTACAGTAAGAAGAAAGGGAGTTAAAATATCAAATGCGCCAAAGTAAGCTTTTCACCAACTAAAAAGCCTTTCTACAAACTAAATGTACACATAAGATTTTATCAAGATAAACACCTGGGGATTAAAAGTGAGGTTTCCAAGAGGATGAGAATGTGGTGACTTTGAGATGGCGTCTTATTAAATCTCATTATTTGAAGAAATCAACTCAACTTTATACAAAAGAAAGAGTGGTCACATTACTGAAGCCTAATTCATCTTAAAGATAACACCAAAAATATTATTCTACAGGTGACAGTGTACTAAGTTCTGCATCTTATGGCATAGGGAGCAATCTGAATGCTTACATTTTCTTTTGTTTCACAGCAAATGGGGAATAAAGAGAACTGAAGACTAGAAACACAAAGTAAGTTACAGTGAACCAAATGCTTCCTACAGTCTGTCCGGGGGTGATATATAAATTCAAGCATCAAATTATAAACTGTACCCAAAAAAGTGTGCGCCAAGTGACAAATTTAATACAGGTTCACATTCTCATTTGAAACCCTCAGGATCATGTTCCACAAATTAAGAGTTTTTTCAGTTTAGAAAAGTAATAATATTCCTAGAAGAGTACAAGGCAGCATCTTGTAATCAAATAAATTAATATTTTCACAGTGAAAGGTATGAATATTCACACTAGTAGGAGAAATAAATGCAGGTCAGTTCTGCTTAGGTTTTTAGATTTTCACATTATGCGTAAAGGACTGTGGCCCTATAATAAAATCAATATCTGATATATAAGCAAAATAAGTTTTATACCCATGATCCTAGATAAACAGGCAGAAGGGGTTCCTTCCTCTGTTGAAGAAAGAAAACGGCCATCAGAGCAAACACATAAGGTGGCAAACCTCCTTCTTCAGGGCGATCTATACTGCAAAGCTACAAATGAGAGAAAAGAGGATAAGTATTCTTTCGTACCAACTTGTCATTCACACAACTTGGTCTAAAACTTGTAACTTCATTTCCATGTTATTACATTATTTCCTCCTCAGCACAAACCACCACAGTGACAAAATACAAGACTTCCTTACAGTTTTGGAGCAACCACATATTGTGGTTTTGAGGAGCAGCTTTGATTTCACATTTTTAATCTTGTTAACTAAACTTACTCATGGAGGGCCCTAAAACAATATTTGCTATTTCTTTCTTCTTCTTATTTTTTTTTTTTTGGTGAGGAAGATTGTCCCTAAGTTAACATCTGTGCCAATCTTCCTCTCTTTTGTATGTGGGATGCTGCCACAGCATGGCTTGATGAGTGGTGTGCAGGTCTGTGCTTGGGATCTGAACCCACGAACCCCAGGCTGCCATAGTGGAGTGCACGAACCTAACCACTACACCACTGGGATGGCCCTTATTATTTCATTTTTTGACATCCATGGTAAATCCATTCCCTTGGTTAAAACACTTGTTAAAGAAGTCAAAATGAAGGCTTGATCCCAAGTCCAAGCCAACTACTGGATTTGCTCAGTTTAATGGTCCCCTCATCCTAACCTCCTTCCTTGAAAATGCATGCTTTGATCACAAGCGATTAGGGCAAGTTCACCAGCACTAAGAGAAATAACTTAAAAAGCATGGCCTATTTAGTGATGAAGCAGGAGGCAGCTTTCAAAGTACGGCATATTGTAATTATCTATTCACCGAGTTAAGAGCGGGGCATTCTCTCTGTTCATCCTGGACCCAAGCAAAAGGAACTACAAATTGCTATTGCCATATCTTAATCAGTAAAGCTTTGGCTTTTCTCTGTAAAGCACCTATACAGAATCTCAATTATCTAAATAATTATCTAAAAAATTAATAATCTAAATAATCATGACAAGACCTTACATTTTAGGGCAAAGGGATACTACATTTAAGACATTATGGAAAAGTAGGCAAGATCAGATAGTGGTTTTCATTTTTCTGAGTCTCTGGGCATATTATTGGAAAAGGTATAAGAAGCTTTATCTCAAACTTTCCTGTGCCTAAGAATCACCTCAGGAAACTAGTTGTAAATGTAAATTCTTGGGCCATGTCCTCTGGTATTTGACCCACAAATCTGATTTTTAATAAGCACTATAAATCATTTTGATCTCTGAGTAACACTGTTATAATGAAACAGAAACAGTGAATTTTCCTTTCTGTACACATTAAAATTTCTGTTCCAGTACTCAGACGCCTAGTCTATGGACGACTTGATAAACAGGCATCCTAATGTTTCAGATTAAATTAACCATGTGAAAATCAAAGCCCACTGATTATGCATACAGAGAGTATTCACACATTTAAAGAACTCAAACCCACCTTTGCCCAGTACCTAAATGCAATCACCAAAGGAACCAGCCTTGATTCTAGCTTTCCAAGGGCAGTTAAATGATTCGTTGTGAGGCAAGCATTTTCATTTCCTGCACTCACTTTGCAAAGAAGACCACTGGTAGGGGTAAGGGGTGAGGATGGGAAAGAAAAAGAGGAAAATAAGTAGTGTTATATACAGGTATTAGGTATCTTCTATGCCAACAACTAATTTACACTGATAATACTTTAAAAATGAAAATAAAGTAAAAAACTCACTAAATCTTTAAAGGTCAGTAAAGAAACTGGATTTTAAAAAAAGGGCAGCTATTTTCTGACTAAACTTTACTTTTCCAGAACTGAAACTTTCTATTTTCATATATTAAAACTATTTTTGAGGCGAAATGCAAATAAAGAAAATACTGTAAAATGTTTCATTTGGGAGCATGAATTCATCTTTGTAAGAGTAAAAGAGTGTTTTCCCAAGAGCTGGGGGAGTGTGCCTAATGCAAAATCATTGCAGCCTACACACCATCCATTCACAGTGCTGACGGCAATGCTCCCAGGTGGAGGACACGAGCCAAGTCACACTAACTGCTGTTCAGCACTGCTAGAGATGCTGCTACCAAGGATGGCAAATAAAGGTGATCGGAGCAAGTGACCACTTGATAAAGGTATTTTTTACTGAGTTGAAATGGGTCAAAATGCTTCCTTCCTCTATTTTTTCCTCTTAAGTAACTTTATTTTTTTAAAAAATAAAACACTTTTTCCTCTTGCATCAAATGCCAAAAGTATAGGGAGAACACTAGTAGCAAGCCTGTGAAATTAACCACATAAGGAGATTATCATTCTACAAACTGGATATTAAGATTCAGTGAAGTACTTAAAGAAACTGAGACCTGTGCTTTTCTCTGCACACCACCACTGGCACCCTCGCATGGAAATCCGCATCAACATCAAGAAAAGAGTCTGAGGAAAGAAGAAAATAATATTAAGTAAGTTAATTAAACCTTTACAAGAGAATTAGATCAAGTACAAATACTAGTTGCCACTTATCTGTCTGGCCTTTGGAAAGACCCTGCTAAATAAAGCTCTGAGATGACTTGCAAAGGATAAAAGTATTATACGCAAGCATTAAGTAATCACATTAATTTAAACCCTTGTTTTGCAAAATTAATGTTGAATTAGAAATGACTCCATTATTAAATGAGAATATTTCAATATTATGTGGATAACAATTAGAAATATGGATAGGACATTCAAAAACAAAATTGCTGTAAAAACTACTGAAACGTTCAGGGTCAAAATACATATTGACTGAAGTAAGAAGATACGTCTAAATGTTTTATTCAACCGAAACAAGAAGGATGGGAAAAACTAATTCAAGGGGTGAGTCACTTTGACGAGGCCTAAGGAAAGCACAGAAAGTCAAAACCCCCCAGTTGGATATTACTCTGGACAACTGATAAAGCTCACTGAGAACTACTATTTGTTGATTCATTAATCAGGGTTGGGTCATATCTACGCACCATTTGTAAAGAATTAATTTAAACCATTGAATAAAGTAGATTATCTTTACCTCTTTCTGTTCCAGTAGAGGTTTAGCTTTACCTCTAAGAGTAAATTTTACATATTTTGCATCTTTTAAGTCTAGGATTCATTTAATCTTTATAAACTGTGCCATTATCATCAAGCTAAAGGCTTTACTTGTAGAATGGTTATTCTGCATAGTAGAACAACTAACAGGACTCTGACTTGCTAATAATTCATGGGCATTTGCTTTTGGTTTTTGTTTGGACATTACCCATATAAATAATTTTAAAAACATGACTTCCTACTTTCACAGTTTGAGAAATAAGATGTATTCAAATTACAGACAAAAGAAAAATTTAAGAGCAAATTGTAGAAAAGAATTTGGCCTTACCACTGTTCTTTAAGCATTCTTGAACAAGTAAGAGAACATCCGGCTGAGACATCTAGGAAAGAAATCAATGAATACATCAAACAATCTGTAAGTACTTCTGCTTCGCTGAGATAATACACAGTTATCTGGAGTTATCCAAATTCCTTTCCAAATCAGAAAGCACACTGCTCCCAGAGGAAAGAAACTGATCATTATGCTGTGTGCACATGTCAGTCAGAGAGAGACGAGCGCCACAAGGGTGAGTGTGGGCAAAAGAGCTGCTACACAGCCAACTCCTGATTAACCAATCCCTGAGGTCATCAGTCTCTCCGCAATCTCAAAGTTGTGGTGAGAAGCTGCCAAACTGTTAACAATATTACCTCTCACTCTCTCAGACTACTTCAACAGACAGCTTACTTGTCTTGGGCTTTAGTTTTGCCTTTCTCCAATCCTGGCTCCACATGGGAGCCAAAACCATTTAAAATCACGAATTTGATCTAGTCATGCCTCTCCTTAAAACTCTCAATGGCTTCTTAAAGTCCTTAGGTCAAAGTGAAATTCCTCATGATGGCATACAAGAGGCTGCATGTTGGGCCCCAGCCTACCTCTCCATCCTAAGCTTATGCTCTTCTTCCTCTTGGTCCCTTCACCACAGCTACAGACTCCTCTTTGTAGCTGCTTGGACATGTCAAGCTCCTTACTGATTTAGGGTGTTTGCAAATGCTGTTCCCTCTGCCTGAAACACTCTTTTAACCCCCTTTACTCTGGCCCCTCTTTTCATCTTTTAAAGCTCAGCCTAAATGTGATCTCTTCAAAGGGAATTTCATGACTCCTGTATCTGTGCATCTCTTGTTGTTTTCTGCCACAGAACCTTGTTTCCAGGCATAGCTCTCATTACAATTAATTATATACATGTACATATCTCCTTCACTAGGTATGAGTTCCTGTCTTGTCCTCTAGAATCTAGTACAGTGCCTGGCATATGACAGGGACTCAGAGAATATTTGCTAAATGAATGAATGGCATGAGATCAAAATAACTGCTATGCTTGTAAATTACTACTCAAAATTTAAGGTTAAAAGAATAGTAAAATCTATTGGTCAGCTGACCATGTAGCTACAGCAGTCAGGAATGGCAAGGAATGACTGGCTGCCAAATAGAACATCCGGGGCTGGAGCCCAGGAATCTGTATTTTCAACCAGCAACCCAGGTAAATAGGTATAAACTACCTGCAAGCTGGCCTGTGGGAACCACCAGTAGATAAATGGATAATCTACTAAAGTGCCTTCCAGTTTTAAAATTCTGACTCATCAATGTGCTTCTGAATCATGCTTAAACCAGAAATCTAGGTTAGGTGTGGTTCTTTAAAGGTATAATTATTTTAACAAAGTAGCTGTATAAGAGAGGACACTGAGGAGCGAATTAAGTTTTCAGGTCATAAATGTCTACATGTCTACACTGTTTAAAATCTGAAATGCTTTCCCGCCATTGGAAAGTTGACTTTACCAAGATAATTTAATCTTTTCAAATTAACAGAACCTAAATAGCCCCGTTAGATTCACATGGTTAGAAAACCAGTGTTTGAAGTAAGCATGAAAGATCTGTAGAATGAAGTAAGTATGAAAAGCTGTAGAGTATTAAAAGAAATGCTCTAAAATTGAAGGCAGGCAGAAGAACATAAAAACAGAAATTTTAGGAAAAAAAGTTGCCACTATTACACTTAAACTGTCTTCAAATATCTAAAATATATTCACATGTAGCTCACACTTGAAAAAAAGAATTTCCATACTACATTGAAAATTCAAGCATTTCGTTTTGTACTTACAATGGCTGGGAATTGAATGTCAATGTTTACATCTGAATTTTTGAAACCCAATCTGCTACAGGATGACCCATATAATCTCAGAGAACAATCTAAAAAAAATTAAATAAAAGTCATTAATAAAGTAAAATTTTTCTAAGTTATAACAAAACACTGCTATTTCAGAAACGGAACCATCAACTAAAGCTACACAACAGCAAAAGAGTTTTCAAGTCTGGCATCATGGAAAGACAGGAACAGGCGACTCTGCTCTTACCCTCACTTTATTTAACAGGGACGGCTGCCCTTACTGCCATTTAGCTTAAGAGTCGCTCCTTTCACGTCAGTTGCAAAACATGTTAAAAAAATTCCTACATTATAATTTCACATTTTTGGTAGAAAATACCATTTGCAGTGATTTTCCAAATGTGCAAACTGAAAAGGGATACCTAAAGTTTGTTTTACATTTATAAACTTGATATTATACCAAAGAGTTAATGCACACATTTCACCTTTTAGAAAGCACACACAGGCATAGTTTACTATAAAGATGTTCCAGTAAAATAATAATCATAAAAATGTCCTTCAGCATAAAGTTACTTTTCAATATGAATACTCATTACATTATGAACAAAAAGGATTTAACATAACCTAATCCCTCCAGGAAAACTTTTGAAAAATGATTATAACATCACTGATATAATTTAGAATGCTAGGCCGCAAGTGATCCACTCTTCAGAGGAAGATGTGTGTGTGTATGTATTGCCTATATTTATTAACGGCATTTTTTCCCCCAACGTTTTACTACTATTGTGCCAAAAAATTATCCCTTCTCATCAGGTGACTTGGGTATTCTTTTTTTTTTAGGTTTGTTAAGTCAAGTGATTTCTTTGGGTTTTAACAGTTTTCCATGACAAAGCACATTCAATTTGACGATGGATCTCTATAGCAAAGATCACTGAAATTACAAATGACTTTTTAGGAACTTGTGTACAACATCAAGAATGAGAGATCTATTAATGAAATGAGCAGACTCTCATCCTTTATTTTTATAAAGTATATATGAGTGATATCCTGTATGAATGATCTTTCAGTAGAACAAGTAGTTGCATGGGTGATACAGTGATAAACTTAAAAAGTGATTCCAACCCTAGCTGTGGATCAGAATTACTTGCGGAGCTTTCTAAAAAATAGTTTTCCATGACTCCACAGACATAACTTGGAACATCAATTCAAGAGTACACAAAATCTATTCAAAATTTGTTTTCAAAGCTCATTTGAGATGCTGCAATTCTGTTAAGTGTGGTTAAACAGAACCTATTTTGGACACAGATAACCTGAAACTGACTCTAGGATACTTCTCTTTTTTTAACTCAAAATATTGTCTCAATTTAAACAGGTAGAAAGGTAAATAAATATACACACAGAGTCCCATAGTGCCCCAATAATATCGGGCACTTAACTTAAAGTACATGCACAAAATGAAATTCCTAAGAAAGACAGGTTTAACGACAATGCATGTAGAAGTCTTTGTTACCTTGGGGGAAGCCTGGAAAAGCCAAAACACACACAAAATTAAGAGCTTCAGGATGTAGCAAATCAATTTCTATTAGGTGAAAATTCTGACTGGCAGGACAAATGGATGAGGTACTTTTAGGTAACTAAATAGAAAAACAAATCTAGAAAATACCTGGTAACTTGTGTTGGAACACATTTTCCATGATACGTTTAATTTCTAGTCTCTGTTCCAAGTTCTCATTGTGTAAGCCAAACTCCTGCACCACTTTCTCAATGGCAATACCAACTGCATTTATCTGGGAGGGTGTAGGCGGGGGTAACGTAGTGAGCAACTCTTCCTCCTGCTTCTCCTTTTAAGATCAATATTGAGATTAAAAATGACTCACACCATTTTTACCTTCGGCTGTTCACTGAGACAACACCCTGTAGAATATTCTGAATATTTTTCTTAACCCTCCCTCTTGCCTTAGCTGTGTTAGTCTTCATCTTATCAAACATAAACACACTTCTTTATGCACATAACAGTGATAACGGAAGGAAGGCAAAAATAAGGAGAAAGTGCAAGGAAAGAGCATTAAAAACAGCAACCACAAATCACTTGCTTTATTATTACTGGCATAAGGACATATCCCTAGGTCCTATCGATGACTTCATTTATCCTGATACTTTTCTCAAGGAAATTCACAAGACTGACCAGCAAAACATAACTGACCAGGACAAAGCAAATTGGCCAAAATAAATTCAATAATATAAGTATTAAAGTTCTTAATATTATAGCCTTAAGGAGAAGAAAGTCACAAAGATGACAAGTAATAACAACTGACAAGTAAACATACTTGTTTGGCTTACATTAAACTTACCTTAATATTTTTCTTGTGCCTCTTCTCTTTGATATGCTTATGGGCAAATGCAATGGATTCAATTAAAACATCACAAAGTTTGCAGGTGTACTTTGCTGTAGGGTAGTTTCTTGGCTTCTATAATTTGAGGAGATTTAAGAGACAGACATATGTATCTTCAAAAACGCATGTAAACAAAAATTAGCCAGAAGATGATTTCCCCTTCACTTTTAAAACTGTTAATATATTACTGTCACTCTTTATCACTACCCTAATAGTCATTTTAATTTAAGTAACTCTATTAAATCAAACTATCATTTTTAACTTGTAGTGTTTAAATACTAATAACCAAAGTAGGATACCTAATTTATGAAAGAACATATTCTCAATTACTACCAAAGTTTAAACCAAAATAAGAATTCTCATTAACAAATAAATATGTAGGAAGATGTTACCCTTTTCAGCCTGTCAATGCAGTCTCTCTTCAGCCGCTCCTCGGCCTGCTGTAAGCCCAGGAGCTCCTTGGTCGAAAGCGCAGATTCATCGATCACAGGGCCTTCCAGGTCTCCGTCCTGCTCATTTTCCTCATTTCTGGTCCTCCGTGGCTTCCTAGGTCTGGACCTCTGCTTCTTGTTTTCTTAAGTTAGGGGGGAAATATCAATGCTGATATTGAATAATATCACTCCTGAGTAACAAGCAGAACTTATATATTTCATAATGAAACCATGTGACATCTGAATGACATGTGAATACAGAGCAGACGGAAAGGTACAGCTCTTCCATGGATCAAATGCTTGAATACTCAGAAAGCACCTCATCTGGATACATCAACCCACAGAAATCATCTTTTTGGAAAACTTAAAAAGAATTCTACTTCAATCATACAGTATGATTTTATAATTATCTCTTCCTGGTATCCTGCTTAGCATACTCAAGCAACAGTAAAAATGATCCTCTGTGTAATTCCAATATACCTAATACATCATAATACACATCCATCTAATATATTCTAGTATACCCGTTATTCTAATGAAACTATCTACACTTGCTTTCATTTTTTTATAAGTGGACAAGCTCAATAGGGTAAAGACAACAATATACCTCCAGAGAACTCAGAAATCAACAACACTATCATCTGGAGGGAAAATCCATCATTTAGTTGTAAATTGAGCCTTCACATAATTGGGCCCTCGCTCCACATTAATAGCAAGAAGTCCAAGGCAAAAGTTTGTTTACTGAGGACAGCTATTTTTCATTTTATCTTTACTTTCATTTTAGCTTCTTTGAACGGCCTGTACACTGAGTACATTTCAAAGAAAAAAACCAATTAGCATTGAAATAAAAGTTATCTACAAATATAGACTAAACCATTTGTTTATGAACTCTGCTGTTCTACTAATAAATTTGTTACTTTTTTTTAACTTTTAACTTTTCAACCTGCGAAACTGAAGATGATTGTGGGATTGAATTGAATTACAAAAAACTGTTTTAAATAGCTTTGCTAACTTCTATCAAGTTCTGAAAATGAAGCTATCACCAACACATAAGATTAATATAAAATTTATTTCCCCAATAAAACTGTGATAAATGGATTGAATAGTTTAAAATGACTTATCCAAAATTAATCTTTGAAAATATAAACCTACTGAAACAGCCTGCCTGAGGCGATTCCTATGTCAAGTTTTCAGTGGAACTCATTACTTGTCCAGCAGTTACAATGAAGCAGTTGATTGAAACAAATTCTGTGTCAGAAAAGGGAGGTAGGGAACATCTAACTTAAAAAAACCTATTGCCAACAGCTCTAAAGGAAAAGCAGCAAGCACTATGCTCAAACTACTGTAAGAAGAATATAATGAAATTCTGCAAACAGCTTCTATACTACAAGAGTGGCAAGTAGAACATAATAAATAACTACAAGGACAAATACAGTCTTTTCAAGAAAAAGCAATCAAAATGGACCAAAGCACTAAAAGGTAAGTAGTCACTTGAATAGAAAACGAGGCTACTTTAATACTTGCTTTTTAACATTCTCCTTACTCCCAGTTAAATTATCACAATCTTTTAAGGGCAGTACTTTTGGTGTGCACAAACTTTTGAGATAAGCACTTCTTTTCACTTAGAGGTGTGTGTATTCTCATTTAATTTGTTTATCATCACGTACTCTAAACAACTGCGTGACTTCAGTGTTCATGACAGAAGTTCCTTACCTAGGCAAATGCTCATTAGTGATTTACACTAATATGTGCAAAACCCATTAGCAAAGTCCGTATTAGTTCACAAAACAGTAATTGATACAGAACCAAAGTTTTTTTAACCTCTCCTCTCTCTTGATCACAAAGGTTTCTCAATATAACTATATTTGCCGTCATTTTCTTGTGACTTCAATTTCCCTCCAAAGAGCACAAATAACTCCTTGCTGTTTTTATACAGAGCAGTAGATGGCTGCAGAAACTATGTCTGATGATGATGGTAACGGCAGCTACCATTACTGAGTATCTTATTATGCGACAGGTACACGGCAAACACTACCTGTATATTGCCTCATGTAATACCTACAGTGATCCAGTCGTGGATGCTAATGTTATCCCCATTGCACAGCTTGGGAAAATGCCGGTCCAAGAAAATAAGTAATTTGTTCAGAGACACATGACTAAGTCAAAGTAAAGGGATTTGAAATAAGATCAAAGCATGGATGAAATTCTGAAATTCACCATTCTATCTAACAATATAAGAACCGAAAAGACTTAGTAAAATCCCTTCTTGTAGCATACCCATTCACATCTAGAATAGACTAGAACTGACAAGGCAATACAACTTTCTGAACTGAGTTTCACAGGTGTGCATGGGAAAAACAGTCAAAATCTCGTTGGAGAGAATCCTGAAGGCAAAGCTGGGTACTGCTAAAAACTAGCCATAATTACTTAAAGGAAGGTTACTTGACTCATCCCAGGATTTTTGTAATATGAATTCTCTATATACAGTATTCCAAATTTCCCATATTTTATTTGCATATGGTCCATTACTCCATTCACAAAAGACATGTGTATTTGAGTAGATGTTTTCCAGCTAAGATCATTAACGGCATTGTCCCAAATACATTAAATTGGCAATCAAGGATATTTCAGGGATGAAGTAGGGGTGGTAACGTAGAACTAAAAATAGGAAGTTAGTATTAAAAAACAACTCTAAGATAACTCTAAGATGTTTTTCTTTATGTCTTCTCACATCATTTAATAAGATCCTTCCTTATTAAGACTAATTTTGATTCAAGGAAAATTTCGGTCCTTTTAAATGAGATCCTTTTTAGGATCCTCTGAGTGAAGTGCCAAGTTTATACTTTAAACTGAATTTCTCTCTGTAGTAAGCAATGTTATATCAAAGCTTAATATTTCCCTTATGAAGACTTCCCAAGGGAGAGAAGCTGAACAATTCTTCATTTAGTGATTGTGAAAGGACACACCTGTATTTCATATAGAGAAAACATGGGAGCTTTTGGATTGCCTTCGAGAAAAAAAAATATTAAAAATGTACTTCTTGTTCACATGCACAAAAACAATTCTTTAGTTGCTTTTAAGATGAAACAAGAATATAGATGAGAGGTTTTGGTCTGTAAACAGTTCCTTTTAATATCTGTCTGATTGCAAACTTCTGATCTGTAAATCTTTCTTTTTATAATGCTGCTCAAGATCCTTTCTTTTCTTAAAGACTAACTATTGGTAACTAAATTAAAATGTCCATGTCCCACCTGGACACAGTAATACAGAAATACTTAAACGTACACAAACTTTTAAAAAGAAAAACACAAATCAAAACACCAGAAATTATCAGTATGTGTTCAGTTTCCCCTCTGTCAGATTCAAGCTCCAGCAAAGCTGAGTTAATGGCCAGAGCAGCACAGGACATGATTTTAGTTCCACTTCCTCATCTACCACTCTGCACAAATAAGTCTGGATAAATTTAACCCCTCTGAGCCACAGCTGCCTGCCGTGTAAAATCGTGATTCTACTTTTGATACATCAGGACACGGCACTGCATCAGACAATTCCTTCAAGTTCTTTCTAGCTTAAAGATTTAGGAGCTAAGGTTTTCTCTCTCCCTATTTAATTCCTTTATAACACCTCATTCTGTTTCAGCTATTTGATACAAAGCATTTTCTCTTGCTTTTCCTATCTTAAAAAACATAAAACAGCACCTTTTCTTCCATTTAATACTTTCATAAGACCCTCTAAAGATTAAACAACATTTTCCCTATTAAGTATTCTAAATGCCCAGGTCACAAATTCAAATGCCTTACTAGTAATACATATACAATATAACTGGCTGCTGTGAGATGACAAAAAGGAAAGGGGCCTTAAATGCATTTAAATTAAAAAAACTGGAAAAGTGCTGGCTAGTTTGCAACCCATCCTATATGGCCACTAAAAAAGGCTTACAGCCAATAAACTTAAAAGCCCATTTTTCCAAGTATAATTTACCAAGCATAATTTGCATTTTTGGACTAAATATTATTGTTTTATCTTTTCCTTCAAAATAATGACTTTATTTCATTTCAGTAAATGTTGTCCATTAGATAAAAATAATTTTCCTGTTTATAGAAATCATTGCTACAAGGACAAAATCTACCATTCACCTTTTAGACAAATGTATGAATACTCACTTTGGGACAATTATTATCAAGCACACAGGGCACTTAGAATGGATTTTGGTTTTACTAGAACTAAAAAGAAAAGCTTTTAACTGTATTTCTGATTTTCTAAACTTAATGTTTCTCAACCTGCTGGCCAAGCTCGCTTTTGAGAAAAAACCTTGGACTACTTTCCTCTGGGGATCAATGCTCCATGCCAAAGAACATACCTCCTGCTGTGGCAGGAGATATATGCAGTCTATATTGTGTTTTTACATCGAATAAGATTTTTTTTTTTTTACCTTTATTCTGTCATTTATGTTAGGGACACGTTCCTTATTCAAATACAAAATGACAATAATTTAGAAAACATATATACACCACTCAGAAATTATATGATAGTCCCCAGGGGAATTATGACCACCCTCTTCTGTAAAAAGCACCAACAGGAAATATGTTGACTAAAGTAAAATGAGCCTTGTGACAAAGTACACTTTTAAAGGGACCCATAGACGCAATGTGTTGAAGTTGCCCAAATATCATGATTACACCCCTTAAAATAATCACATTAAATAAGCAGAAACTACGAAAAACTGGAACTGCACTCCTGAAAATAATAAAATTCAGATGAAAGAGAAAGACATTGCTGACTTCGGGGTTGTAACTTGACAAGTTGGAACACATTACCAGGGCTTCCTGTTTCCATTTCTGACATGGTTTCTAGGCTTGTCAGGTCTTTATGAAATAATCGTCTTACAGTTCTGCAGCCTCTTCCATCTTGCCACCTATATCCATCTTCACTTTCTTGAAACAAGTCTTTCCTTGGTCGGTTTATAATAGGAATTCTAGGTCCAGGTTTGAATTCTCTCCAACTGTCCGAATTACCAGCAAGTTCATCAGATAGCCATCTCTTACTCTGATCTTTGTGGTTGTCATTTATCCAAGCAGGTTGACTATAAATTGGGTTTTTAAATGCATATGGATTGCTGGAAACAGCATATGGTCCTTTTCTGGGGGTATTCCCATAGTTTCCTGGTGATATTTTTTTTTTTGGAAGGCCTTTTTCCATTTTACCGCTGTGGCCTTTAGCATAATCATCCATTGTTAAATAATCTTGCTGGGGGTGACCCCTTCTGAAATCTTCATCATCTATATTCCCTCGGTCTTTAGCACGCTTCATAAAATAAGGTTTCACTGCATCTCCCATGGTCTTTGACTTCAATTTTCTTACTTTGTACCTGAAAGAAGGCATTTTGGGGAAATGTCAAATTATAACAAGAAAACATGTCAAGTATACAAAATACCACCCATTTATTGCGCAGATGCTCAAAAGCCTGTAAGAAACTCTTCCTAATTTCCATTACTTTCCAATAACCAGTGCATTACACCAGAAGTTAGGTGGGTAGTCCTATAATATTCTTCATGAAAATTAGTACTATTTAACGTGAAGATTAAGTCTATGAATAAGGGAAGCTCCCTATAGTCTAGAGAAATGTAGTTTAACAAATGTTACTCATACCAAGTTGGATGACTTTAACTGCATAACAAAAATGCGTCTCTTCAAAAAAAAAAACCTCATCCCAAGCCTATACTGTTAGTCTTTTTTAAAAAAAAGTTGGCAATTACTTTTAAGTGCTATACAAAGTAACAAACTTTCTGCGAACGTGGAACACCTCCTTCCAACTTCACTTTTCCGTCCCTTCTCCGTCTCCCGGGGCCTCGGCTCCTCTCACCACCACTGTTCAGATGTTCAGAACACAGGCTTCGATCGCTTGGGCTACGGAGGGGCTGGGCTCCCGACCAAAGCTCCACTCAGCCAAAGGGGCTGGGTTTCCGACCAAGGGACAACTCCGGCTAACCTCCCCAGTCCCCATGCTCCAACCTCAATCAACTTTAGCTTTGACACGAACAGCAATTCTCCCTCTTCGATCCCCATCTGACTGCCCCACCCCCGATCTGCCTCAGTTTCCCCCGTGCGGGGCCGGCGGAGAAAGAGGAGGTGTCTCTGCACCCCTGGCCACCAAGCCAAGGCAGGCACCAGGAAGCAGGAAGTGACCTGCCTCCCCGATGGGGTTCCGGGGTCCCCCAGGCCGGCGAGGGGGCCCAGCCGAGTGCCCCCACCCAGACCCCTTCCTTTCCTGCCCCGCAGGGTCTGACACAAAGTGAAGAAGCGGACTCGAACCCGAGAGCTCTGTCCTCGCTGGCCTGGGGGCTCCCAGGTCCTCGCAACCGGGGCGAGGAGGCCGGCGGAGGACGGAGCCAACGTATCTCCCGGGCCGGGCCCGCCCCCTACTCTGCAGACCGGGGCACCCACCGGAGACCCATGCCCGAGGCGAGGCCGGGAGGGCCGCGGGGAGAAGGCGCTTCGGAGCACTCACCACCTCCGCCGCGGTCCCCCGCCTCTTCCTGTCCCGGCCCGGCTCCCTCTCCGTGTTTTCCTTCGGCCCCACTTCCGGCGCTCAGCGCTGTCTCATTGTGCGCGATTGGGAGGCGGCGGTGCCCCCGCCCGAGCGCTCCGCCGCGCACGCCGGAAACGCGCGCCGCACCTCCCCGTCCACTTCCGCCGCCGCCGCCGCGCGCCCCCGCCGGGGTCGGGCGTGGGGTCGGGGCGGGCGCGCTGGCTCGGGGCTGGCCTCGCCTGGGCCTGGAGAGCCCGGGCGGTTCTGGGGAGGCAGCCGCTCGCTCCCCGCGGGAGACGCGGAGCCCGCGGCTGGGAGGCCCGGCGTTGCCCCGGCTGCTTCCGGGGCTCACAGGGCAGGGCCAGCCCGGGCCGGAGGCCTCGTGCTGTTTGAGAACGCGAGTGAGTGAACGGCCGAGTGAGGGCTAAGTTACAGACCTGCTAGAAATGCCAGCCGCTCCGCGTCGGCTGTTCGCCCCGGTCTCCGTGTGGTCAGGGGAAACGCGCTGCTTTTTTTTCTTAGGTTGTGTACGGATTAATTTTACGTAAAAAAAAAAAAAAGTGTGTGTTGAAGAATGTGTCGTCTCACAGGATGACCACGGAGGGTCCTGTTCGAAGTTTTGAACCAAGAATGCACACTGGGAACTAGCAAAACAACCCGCGGTTCCTTTTTTTTTTCTTTTGACTTTTACCTTCCTCGCTGTCTGCAGTGAAAGCCTCGAGCAACTGAAAAATTAAGGAGCGTTGAGAAAATGAGACAGTTTTGAATTCTCTGCTTTTTAAGAGCATTTCAATTTAAATCCATGAGATTCTGTGGGGTATTGGTCTTAAAATAATAATGAACACGTGACAACTGGCTATCGCCAGGCACTGTTCTGAGGGCTTTACGAATCGTTACTCATTTAATCCTCACGACAGCTCCACTAGGAAAGTATCATTATCCCCGCCTAAAAGATGGGGAAATAGGGTTTATGGCGAAGTAAATGGCACCTCTGAAATCCCAACCCTAATGAGGCAGAGTCTGTTCTTAACCAGTGTGTCTACTAAAGGTACTTTAAAACACGTTCGTACAGCTTTGGTCTAATGCCTTATCCGGATGCTCTGGTTTTTAAAATACATGAGGATCAAGCTAATAATCTGACAGGCAGACAATGGCCTTTAAAAGAGTCCAAAGGGAGTGTGGTGATACATGATTATATGTCTTATGGGACAGCAGTGTCGCCACACCCAGTGGAGTAATTCTGAACAGAAGAACTGGTTTAGGAAAAGTTTTGGAGGAGCAATCTTTTTAAGGGTTTAAAATATTTTTTATTTGCATTTTCTTCAATGTGTTTCCCAAAGCTTAGCTTCTATTCTAAATGTGCTTTTAAGATTCATCTTGATAAATGAAGCTCTCTAAAACAAGGTGCAATACTAATCAAAAGATATTGGCAGATAATATACCTCTTTCTATCCGTATGATACTGTAATGGGAATTTAAATTGGTCATGAGGATCCATAAAATCCAGTTGAAAAGTTTGGTTTGGTCCTTCGTTGGATGTCACCAGAGGGAATAGTGAGCTTCTCAGAGTCTTTGTGGTGATTGCTTCACGGTCTAGAGGTATTTCCAACAACGTGGAGTGGAAATTTGGGGGCTCTCTGGTTCAGAACACCTTAACACTGTTCCATATGTTAGAGTGAGACTTCTCTCTTGAAACTTAATGTTGAACCAGAAGCTTAATGTTGTGGTACATCTTGACAAGTCAACCTTTAACAAACCCAGTGCTCTTTTTCCTGTAGGGCGGAGAATCAGAAGTGCAGGAGTTGTAAACCTAGCTTTGTCAGCCAATTTCTCCACTAGTGACTGGGGGTCAACTTGCTTTAGCAGTACTCAGTTGTCTCTTTGCAAAAGTAGTTAGAGAATGCGTTACTAAAGCCCACCCTATCCATAGCATTGCTGACTCCTGGATCACCATGGCAACGGCTGCTTTGGTTGTGTTTTTAGTTGACTGTCCGGGCCGGTTAAGCTTGGCATGAAGCTTGACTATGCAGATCATCAGTTACCTCACTTCTCACCTCCAGTCATCTATTCCACACTTCAGACCACCCTGCCCCTCTATCCCATAAATACCCCAATCCTTATTTTTGGGAAGGTGGATTTAAGACTTGTTCTGCCATCTCCTTGCTTGGCCGCCTTGTGAATAAACCCTTTCTCAGCTGCAAACTCAGCATCTTGGTGATTGGTAAACTGTGACAGGCAAAATGAGCCTGGTTCAGTAATACTAGTGCTTTCTATCCACATTGACGTATGCGTCAAATATGTCCAGAGTCCAGTGACTTCTCACCACCTCCCTTGCTTGCAACCTGATGTTCATCACCATCATTGCTTCACTGCATTGCTGCAATCATTAGCTTTCATCTTTGTCCTCCTTTATCTACTCTCGATGGTACCAAACCTCTTAATCTCAAATTCGTGTGCCAGAAGTGCCACAAGCCAAACACTGAGAGATGGGTGCTTGGAGATGAAGAAAGATTTATTTGAATTGGCCAAAGTGAGTAGGTGGGAGCCTGAGTTCGCTCAAATCTGCCTCTCCAAGAAGAGAAAGGAGGAGGGTTTCATGGAGCTAAGGGGCTGGGCAGGAGAAGCTTTGGAGAAACAAAGGGGTCATTCCCAGTAAGCCCCGGGGCGATCTGACTCCTGGGCTTCGGTGGCTGCTGAGGCCTGGCAGTTGATTGAAACCTCCCCAAGGCAGTCTTTCTTCTGAAAAACAAGCTCACAAATCCTCAAGACCCCTGAGTCACCCCACAAATTAAACAGGAAAACAGCAAATTGTAACCCTCAGGTACCTGGCTTCATCAACACTATAGCCAGAAAACTCCTGTAAAAATCTGAGCCAGGTTATGATTTCCCCCTCAAAACACCTCAGTGGCTCCGCATTTCTCTGGGAGTAAAAGCTGGAAGTCCTTACAATGGCTACACAAGCCCCTCCCTTTACCTTCTGATCGCATCCCTTATTCCTCTCCCCCCTTCACTAACTCCACCCTAGCTGTACTAGTCTTCTTGCAGTGGCTTCCTCACACCAGCAAAGCTCTTGCCTCAGGGATTTGCCCTGGCTGTTCCCGCTGCCTAGAATGCTTTCCCTCCCTTGATATGTGTATTGCTCACATCCTCATCTCCTTCAAATCTTTGCTGAAAGACCACATTCTCAATGAAGCCTACTCCGACCACCCACCACCCTCTCCTCTCCCTCCCCAAAGCGCCTCACCTGGTCTATTTTGTTCTTGTAGCACTATATACACCTTGTCACCTGCCATATAATTTCATTATTTATTACAGTTATTTGTTTCTTGTCTGCCTCCCTCCACTAGAATATAAGTTCAACAAAGGCAGAGACTTACCTGTTTTGTTTACCAATATGTCCTCTAGGACCTGGAACATTACCTGGCTCATGGCAGACTCTCTAGAAATGTTTGCAGAATGAATGAAAGATACAGGACAAGCCAGGCTCTGCAGCAATGGTTCTTCACAAACGTTCGATTCCCCTCTCTTATTGAGGTATGTTAGTATTCTTAAAGAAGTCTAATCTTGCAATAGGATTGAAAGTGAACTCAGAAACTTTAAAATATTTTACCCCCACCCCAATTCTCCCTAACTGTCTGCCTAGAGTTTTCAACATCTTTGTAATGGCTTTCTTTCTTTTTCTTCCCCCAAATTTCCTAGATAACTGAGTTAGAATACTTCTCGAGTCAGTTAGGATGCATCCAGCTTTGAGTTTGATATAAAACCTAATTTAAACTGGCTTACACAGAGAAGATATTTATAGGCTCACGAGACTGAGAGTTCAGAGGGGTGGTGCAGGCTACAGTGCCAGCTTCATCCAGTGGTTAGGCCCTGGTGTGTGGACTTCCTCTTCAGGCTGTTGTCCCACAGTGGCACAGTGGCGGTGGCAGTTCCTCACATCATATCTGTCCACCACAATGTCCAGGAGGAGAGAGAGCAGCCTCCAGAAGCCAGGAAAAACTTTCCAAGACACTCTTGCAAACTTCATTTTACATCTTAGTATCCTTCCTTGGGTCAAAGGCTTCTTCTTAAATCAGGCCCTGGTAAGGGGGATGCCATTACCCTTAGACCAGGGTTTCTCTGTCTTGGGACTATTGGCATTTTTGGGTTGGGTAATTCTTTGTTGTAGGGGGTTGTCCTGTGCATGGCAGGAAGTTTAGCAGGGTCCCTGGCCTAATAGGTGCCTTCCCCCTCGTTGTGACAATCAAAAATATCCCCAAGCTGGCCAGCCCCAGTGGGCTAGTGGTTAAGTTTGGTGTGCTCCACTTTGGTGGCCCAGGTTTGGTTCCTGGGTATGGACCTACACCACTCGTCTGTTAGTGGCTGTGCTGTGGCAGTGGCGCACATACAAAAAAGAGGAAGATTGGCAAAGGATATTAGCTCAGGTGAATCTTCCTTAGCAAAATAAATAAATAAATAAATAAATCCCCAAGCATTCCTAAATGTCCCTGGGGGGCAGTGTTACCACCAGGTGAGAACCACAGCCTTGGGCCATCAGGCCCACCCTTAGAGCTAGGGGTTGGAGTCAGCTTGCTTTGGGGCACTTGAGTTGCCAGAGGGGGGATGGGATACTGAATAAAGTCTGGGTCCCATTAGGAAGAACAAAGGTGAGAATGGATGGCAGCCAACACTGTTCATTCCACCTGTATTGGACAAATTCATCTCTGAACTCTGGAACAAATTTTGGCTTTTCTGTAAATTAGGATATGAGTGGGAATATTGAAAAATACGTCTTTATAATTTGATATTTGGTCAGAGAAGACCTTCCAGTTACATATCAACTTTTTTAGAATATCACAGGAGACAGATGCTCCTTCTGCTCCATGCAGGGCAGAGGACAGAGAGAGCTACTGTGTTATATGGGGGAGACAACGTTCCAGGGCCTTTGAGGAGCTCTCTTCATAAAGCCTTTTCAAAGACCTTACCCTGAGTCAGGCTTAGACTGGACTTTTATGACTCCTGTGGCTTGAGGAAAAGAGCTAAGAGAATCCCCTGCCTCTGCCTGCCACAGAGTCTCAGTTTGAATTACTCCGGGACCTTGTATTTACATCCTAAGATATGTTGTGTAAGGTAAAACAATTTTATTTCCAGTACATGTTTTCAAATCTTAGGAAAATCTGTGAGCTAGTGTACTCTAATAATTAAAACCTAGACTTTGCTGTTTTAGAACTAGCTGTTTATTTATAGTCAGTCATTCAGTTTATTCAACAAACGTTGAGTGCCTGTGTGAGTGATATGTGAGGAAAACAGACATAGTCCCAATTCTCGCAGTGTTGAAAATAGGGTAAAGGCAACAAATGTCCTGAAATTGAAAATTTAAGACTCAGCTTAGACTCTAAAATTGATCTAATCTTGCTCTGGGGCCCTGCATAGTCTGGGGACTATGGAAAAAAAATTTTAACTTGCTAATTAATGTATCTCAGTCTTTTCTAACTTAAATTGTCTTTTTGATGGTTTAGTCTCTGGATACTTGCCCATCATTCACATTGCCTTTATCGCTTCCCTCGAGTGCCATCTGGGGATGTGATGGTCTGGAGTCACATCACTGGAAAGAAGCATCCCAGGATACACATTCCATAGGCTCACTGAATGGTCCTCTCGCTTCTCTGATCTTTCCAGTCTCTCTTCTTCATCCTCTTATTGGATATCTAATGCAGAGGTCTGAGACTCAGATTCATGGTTAGTTCTCTTGGCTTAGTCCATCTCCAGTGGTTTGCTGTTGCTGACTTGGACCCACCATGCACTTGATGGCAATATCCATCCCTCTTGAGATCCAGCTGCAACTCCCAGGTGGTTTTCAGCATGGGTGGTCCACCACTTTCCCCCAGTTCTGCCCATCTCCTGGCTTCTCTGCCATCCATCCTCCTTGGCACCAAGAAGAACCCAGAAACACTTGGATTCCTTTTAAGGACACGTGAAATCTCAAGTATGCCTGAAAGTGCCAATTTCGGCTCTCTTCTGCTTGACCACGCCCTGCTGTTATTTTTACATTCCTGAAACCGTCTTAGGTTTCTCTTGGGTGGTCTACTTCCCCCTGGTTCCAAGTTTGGGATGAGTCACATGCTCTAAACTTTCTCCTCAACTAATCTCACCCTCAGAGTAATGGAAAGTTCTGCTTCCCTTCCTGTTGCCAGGGAGACCAGCCGCCCTGTCTTCCTTCCTCTCCCCACTTCCAAGTCTCAGCCATCCATTTTACCGTGGAAACTGAATACCCAACCTCTAGCTGTTTCTTAGATCCCACTGCAGGCCTCTCAAACTGTCGTCGTGGAGAAATGGTCCTCTCACGTCCACACTCATCAAATGTTGCACTCTAGACTTCTCTATGGCTAACCACAGCCCTCCCTACCCCCATCCTCAGGGCTTTCTTCTGGTCAGACTTCCTAAAAGGTCTCTGAGCATTCACTGGATCAGGAACCTGAGAATCTCCCTCGGCTCATGGGCTACCTCCTAGATCCTGCAGCCTCCGGTTGGTACCCAAGCTGGGGTTATCTGAGCTTTTAGAGTGCATCTGCAGGCCGTCTTCATCTTATGGACCCAACCTCTAGAGGACACCAGGAAGCTGCCACCTCTCTCCTTGCCAGTCAGCCCTTCACAGATGGAATCCTTTCTCCCAGCACTGGATACATGGCAGTGATGGAGAGAAATTGGGGCTGGATTATTCAGAAAAAAAATCTGTATCTTTTTCAAAAGGAAATATAGCTTGTGGTGCATGGGTCTGTGGCAGTGTTTGTGATTCAATGATGGGAGAGGAAGGAAGGAAACTTGTCTATTGAGTAACTGCTGGGCTGAGCACTAGTACTTGTGTCTGATTGTCCTCTCCCACTTCTACAATTTATGAGTTATCTTAGCAAACAGTGGCTCAGAGAGGCAAAATCGTGGGCATATAGCAACACAGCTTTACTGGCTTATTTGAGACTTGACCAAGGTCTTTCTGACTTGTAAGTTTATATTCTTTTTACTGTACCATGCCCCAAGCTCCTGTCCCCTGACTGAGCCTCACACCCTGAAGAGCCACCGTTCCTTTCTGAATTCTCCCTTCCTGAGACCACTCTCTGAAACTGGGGCTTGGTGGTCTCCGACTGTAGTTCTGTCAGTAGTTAGGCTGACATTCGTGCTGGGCTGCACTGCGGGGCCTGCAGAGGGAAGTTGCTGCTTCCTGTCACAACTACCAACACTCCTGTAAGTTGTTCTTCAGATGAGACCACTGGTGAGGAACCGGTTTAAATCAACCTGAGCCACCCAACTCCCCTTCTGGGTGACCAAGAGTGAACCCCGCTCATTGTAATCTCATTATAATGCTAAAATCTCCACCCAGACACATTCCATCCCTCTTCCTTTGAACATGTGACCTATGTAATAGCATGTGTACATGCTGGCATGCACCTTAAAAGAACATGGCTGTTACACGATAAACTCTAGTATCTTACCTTTCCTTTAACAGATCAGAGTATTCATGATCTGTGCCTTGGTTTAACAGTAAAAGGACCCCTCAAACCCCTGTCCAGGGGGACCCTGCTTTGGGCATCATTCCTGGTGTTCTCCTTTTTTCCTACAAGTAATAAACCTTGTTTCGCTCTTCTTTTCCCCTGGTGTGCTTGTTGCCTCTGTGCTCACCAAGGGGCGAACCCATTGTGTTTGGTCACAGTTCCAGGTCTGCCTCTGCTTTGCTTTGATCAGCGCGAGTTATCTGCCCTCACGAGCCTCAGTTTCCCTAACCGTAAGCAAAAGACAAGGAACAGGAAGCCCAGCATCCACTATTCTTGACTGATCCTGAACAGTTCAGTTCTTCTCATTTAGTAGCTCATTTTGGAGTGTATATTTTTATAAGTTTATAAATATAATGATTTATTTTTATTGATTATTTTAAGTCTAGGTTAAAAATTGTTTTATATATTTTGGGTTTTTTATTTTTAGATTTCTGTTCATGATACTAATTGCCATTTGTAGTTGTGATATAAAATTTTCTTTTAAAATATATAAATTAAAAAATTAAATCTATTTAAAGAAAATTATTAATGAATATCAAGAGATTTCAAAAATCGTGAAGATGATATACATATGATTGAACTTTGGGAAGCTCTGGCCCCTTGGATGCCAAATGTACCAAAAATGCTTTGTCAAGGCATCCAGGGGTTCCCCTGGGAAGGGAGAGTCCCCAGCCAGTCATTGAACTAATGACATTGGTTGTTAACACAGTGACTCAAATTTCTAGAGGCAATCATTGCTATCATGTGTTGTTTTGCAACCATCCTCTCCTGGGCCAAAGAGGTGGAAGTCGATATGGGAAAAAGGTAGTGAAGGGGACCGGGAAAGTGACGTATTGAGAAGACAAAGATGGGAGTGGGGGAAAGCTTTTAAATTCAGTGCGAGAATATTGAGCATTAAATTAGAGTTGTACCAACACTATGTAGGGAGAAAATAGAGCTTGAAGAGTAGTCTTCAGTAAAGAAAATGGAGAAGAGTTTGATTAAATAAAAATAGTGAAAAAAAAAATAGCCCTAACCTTGAACTGTCCTGGTGTTCTTGAACTGGTGTGCTTCATCCCCCGGGCATGGGACAGGCCAAAGTGCCTCTTGGTAGAGCTGCCAGATAAAATCCAGTGTGTCCCAGGCAGTATTTGGGACGTACCTATATTAACAATTGTTCCTTCTTTTTCTTAATTTAAAATGTAACTGGATGTCCTGTATTTAATTAATTAATTAATTTTGTTGTTGCTAAATTTGGTTGCCTCCGGTGTCTCCTAGAGGCTTTCTGCTAGAGCCTGCACTCTTGGTAAGGGTCCACCCAGCTGAAGAATACTGTCTGCTCTCAGGTTGTCTAGCTATGATGTCTTCTCGCAGTGACCATAGAAAAAGCTCTCTTGTCTCCACCTCCCCCGCCTTGTTGTATTTTGAAAAATGTCAAACCTATAGAAAATTTTCAAGAAATGTACAATGAACATCTGTATACTATTTATATAAATTCACCAGTTTTAGCATTTTATCATATTTTCTTCCTTTCTGTCCCTTTCTGCTCTTTTCCTCCCTTTGTGCATGTGTGTATTCTTTAGCTAACCATTTGAGAATTAGTTGCAGACATCTAGACACCTAAGCCCCCAAACCCTCAGCATGTATCTCTCAAATATGAGGATATTTTGCTATATAACCACAATGCAATTATCATGCTCAGGACATTTAAAATTGACGCAATACTGTTTTCTAATATGCAGTCCATATTTAAATTTCTGCAATTGTCCCAATAATGAGGCACTTTAACTAACACTATTTTATTTTTTTATTCAAGATTTGAGCAAAGATCCTACATTGCATGTATTTTCCTGTCTCTTTAGTGTTCTGTAATGTAGCACAAGTTGTTAATCTTTTCTTTTTTTGATTTTTCATTCATGATATTGACATTTTTGAAGAGTTCAGGCTCATTCTTAAGAGGTCGTCTGATTATTTCCCCATGGTTAGACTTGGGTTAAACAATTTTGGGCAGGAATACTGCATAGGTGATGTTGCATTACACATCTCACTGTATCACAACAGAGGGTATGTGATGTGCATATGTCCTTTTAATGAAGATGTGGAGTTCAATCCTTTGGTTAAGGTGTTAGCTACCATATTCCTCCATTATAAATTTTCCTCTTTCCCCCTTTGTAATTAATAAGTAACTTGTGATGTGATACATTGGGCTGTGTGAATATCCTGTTTTCCCATCTTTCTCTCAGTGGTTTTAGTGTCCACTGGACATTCTCTCCTGAAATCAAATATCACTATGGTAGTTGTTAAGTAGTGATTTTCTATTTCTTTCATTTTTCCTGTGTTTATTAGTTGGCATTCTTCTATAAAGGAGGGCTTTCTGTTTTCTTCCTAATCCGTTGAATTTTTTCTTTTTAATAATCAGTGTGGATGCCTGGATTCTATTTCATTCAGTGTGTTATGTTTCTGCATTATTCCTTTTGATGCTCAAGTTCTCCTAAATTTGGCAAGTGGCAGCACCTTGAAGTGGTTCTTATGTCTCTTTGGCATATCTTCCTCAGTTTTGAGCACTTCTTTAATTTCTGGCACAAGACATTCCAGGCTTACCTTGAAATTAGGCATTTTCCCAAAGGGTTTGGGAAACGGTGTTTAGAAAGCAAGACCTGAGTGCCTGCCTTGTGTGCTTGTTGCTCTGGGGTGAAATTGCCTTTGGGTTGTCCAATGGGCAGAACTAGGAAACACTTTTTAAAAATCGTGAGTTCATAATGATCTCTCTGATTGACACCCAGTCCATCAGTACAGGATTCTTCCTCTCCTTCCTCCATCCGTATTCATATCTTTGTTCTCCCATGGTGAACTCTGTGCTTCCTCAAAACATCAATATGTTTACTTATTTGCTCAATCTTGCAAAATACACAAAACAGTTTCAGAATTGCCTCACCAACATCACTACCCAAAACAAGCCTATCAAGTAAAGTTTAAGATTTTTAGCCCTTGGAATATATCCCACCGAAAGTGTACAATTAGAATACTTTGTTATTATGTTCAAAAGTTTTTGGGTTAATTCTTTTTTTCTTTGTAATTGGGTTATCAACTTGGTTATAATCAAGTTTATTTCTTTAATTTTCAGGTCCTTCTCTCCCCCTCATTCTTATTGATTTAATTTTATTTTTTGAATATGTAAAATGCTAACATGGTTCAAAATCCAAAACTAAAAGGTTATATTCAGACAAGTCCTGTCCCCTTTCACTCTCTTCCATTCCGTTCTCCCAACCCCCATTAGGTAACCAAATTCATTTGTTCCTTGTTTATCTTTTCTGTTTCTTTTTTTGTAAAAATAAATGAATAAATATATATGTTACCTTTATCATACAAAATTTAGCATACTATGTATAATCTTTAGCACCTTGGTATTTTTTCACTTAATAATCTATTCTGGAAATCAGTTTGTGTCATTTCATAGAAATCTTTTTTGTTTTTTAATTTTCCAGCTATATAGTACTCCACTGAGTAAATGCACCATAGTTTATTTAATCGGACTCATATGTATGGGCCTGTAGGGTGTTTCCAGTATTTTGCAATTACAAATAATGCTGCAATGAATAACTTTTGCATGTGTTTTCTTGTATTGTTGGAGGTGTATTTTCAGGATAAATTCCTAGAAGTGTGATTTCTGGCCCAAAGGGTAAATGCTTATGTAGTTTTGCTAAGTATTGCCCAATTCCCCTCCATCGGAACTGTACATTTTGTACCTGACAGTAGCGAACAAGAGTGCCTATTTTCCCACAATCTGTCCAACAGACTGTTTTGTCAAGAGCTTAGATTTTTGTCAATCTGATGGGTGAGAAATAGCGTGTCATCTATTTTTCACATGCACTTTTTTTTATGAGTTGAGTATCTTTTCATCTATCCTTTGCCTTTTAAAAGTAGATATAAAACTTTGGTGATAATACTTAAACTGAATCTTTCATCTGCGCAACAATAAAATGAAACAAAACTTTTCTTCTCAAAGAATCTCCCTCCTGGTGGTTTTATATACACAAGAAGTTGTTTTATAATGTATTAGAGGGCAGTGAGTTTCAAGATAAAACATTATTTTATAACAATGTGGCAAAACAATTTGATATGTGGTTAAAAAAACCCATTATCTGAGTGGAATAAATTGTGTATTTTCCTGTGCAATTTGGAGAAGGGTTAATCATGATCTCTTTTTTGGTGTATTGCTCTATAACAAGAGGCTCTCACTTTTATCCCGTGTGGTAGATTGGGCAAGGGTTATTACCCCATTTTTACAGATGAAGAAGCTGAGACTGAGAGAGTTTGGGAAGTTACCCAAGCCCAGGTGACTAAGAAGTGGCCAAGTCAGAATTAGAACTCAGGCTGTTTGGCTCCTAATCGAGTATTTTTTAAGTAACTATAGATTAAATACTGAATTATGAATTTACATACTGGCCATTTGTGTTTCGATGGTGGTTCAGAATTTGGGGTTTTTCTTACATGTTGATGGAAAATTCACTTTAAAAATACTAATTATTTAAATGAAATGACTAAGTTAGCAAGGTGAGTTAAATGTTTTCTTTTATGATTTTGGGGCTGCTCATTTACTCAGTGTAAGCTAGATTGATAGTCAATGGAGATGCTGAGGAAAGTGAGGATAGAGTGTAAATAGGGATCTCATTTGCCATTTTCAGACTTTCTTGGGGGCTCCTGTCAATTTCCCATCAATGACTTCCTACTCTCTTGAGACAGACTGACTCCATCTGCAGTCCCTGAGGAGCTTGGTCCTCTGTCCTCCCCGGGGCTCTCTGTGCCCTAGCCACACATTACCTTCTTTCAGTCCTCAAACCTGCCACCCCAGGGCCTTCACACATATTCTTCTTCGCAGCTGCTTTTCTCTCCTTTCCTCACCCAGTTATGTATTCTTGTTAGTCAGCGCTCAGATCAAACGTTGCTTGTTTGGGGAAGCTTCTCTGATCTCCCTGCCAGTCTGTTTGTTACATTCTCTCACAGTACCACATACCTCTTCTTCATAGCACACCTCCCAATTGCAGTTTTACATGTTTGTGCAATTATTTGATCAATGCCTATCTCTCCCACTAGTGTGCAAACACAGGAGAGCAAGAACTCTGGCTTTGCCCACCATGGTGTTCCACAGCCCAGTGCAGTGCCTGGCACACAGTGGGAGTCTAGCCCATACTGGTGGATGAGTGCTGGTGTGCAGGGTTGCGTGCATGACACAGGCAGCTCCCCTGGGTTGACAGGCCATTCTCATACCTTCTCATTTTCTCTAGGTCTTTTGTCACCTCTCCATGTCTGCTTATAACGTTTGAGCCTTTAGCAGATGTATGTGTATTTAATCCCATCACCCCTCTAGCTCCTACTTCTACATGTATGTTCTCTGTTTTGTAACCTAGCAACTCAGACACAAGCCTGGTACATACTCATAACCCTCTCCTAAGCCTTCATGGCTTTAGTGGTTTGGGTGAGACTTTGAGGAGTTGTCCCTTCTATCGCTACACAGCCTCCCATCATTTGGCTGACTCTTCTTTCTTCTCTTTCTCCAAACTTTCTCCTCTCTCCTGACTCTTCTTCCTCTTCCACTCAGGAGTCATCAGGCATCTCACCCCATGCAGGGTAATTTTATTTTGCAGATGCCATGGTGCCAGCCAACATCCATGACCCCACAGGTATTCCACTTCCCCAAGTGGACTGACCTGGGCCTTTTCCCAACAAAGATGGATCTCATGCAAGATGAATTCTAGAACCAGCTACTGAAAGTAGGTAATAATAAAATAATACAAATTCATTATGTTATGTTAGAGTGATATTTCTGGTCAAGTTTGAAGGACCTCCAGTGCCCTCGCCCATGCCATTTGGGGAGAGATTGGTGGAGGGGAGGATGAGAGGAAGTGAGAATAATGAAGAACTTTTTCACACTTCCTGAGACACATTTCTCCTAACATGATCCTATCACAGGTCCTTCCTACAGTTATTTTCCAGCTGCCCCTTTCCTCCCCATTTCTGCCCTCAGACAGAAGAGTAGAAAAGATTACATTCTCAAGAGTTCCTCTGATGATACTTGGGCAAAATCAGATTCAGGCCATTTTAATTTCTGGAATTGCCAGGGAGGACCTGCAGCCAGTTCAAGGAGTCTTGATCATAATGTGCCACCTTTCTTTAGCAAAAACTTGGGCATGTGTAAGTTTCCTAAGTGGGTATTTCTGCCATCCTCAGTTCTCCTTTCAGGTTTTGTTGCAATTCTTTGTCCAAAGCTACCTTGTGCAAGCATTTCGTGTAATGTTGTTGTCACTTTAGAATTTGAGGTTTTAGTCCCCACCCTAGAGAGCTTTAGTTTTATTTTGTACCAGGTGTTCATAAGCATGAGCCTTTATTTAGAAAATCAACAACAATAAACTGCCATCTCACTCCATCCCAACAGTTGTCAAACACTTTTTGTGTGCCAGGAGCTGAACTGTGGTGGTTACATGCGTTATCTCATCATGTCCTTACACTGCCCTTGGAGATGGATCAGACTATTATCCCCATCATATAGGTGCGAAAACTGGGACTCAGAGAGGATGAGAAGTTTGTCCTAAAACACACAGCTATGAATAGCAGAGCCAGAATTTGAACCTCCCACTTACACCAAAGCTTATGAGCCTAAATGTCAGGCTGTTCACCATGCCTGGCAGAGAGGTAAGGACGGGGAATGAAAATCAGCGTTTTGTCAAGTCAGCAGATATGTTTACACTCTCTGTATAAACAGTGGAATGTCCTCATAGGAGTCACACAAGAAGAGACAGAACTCCTAAAAACACGTTGGTGAACTTGGCTTTGCCCTCCCTGCCATTAGCTCTTGTTTTTTACCCATCGATGTCTTACTTTTCTTTCCTCATCATCTGTTTGTTACTCATTAATCATAAAGCCTCAACCGGCTCTCTTTTGGAATCACTGTTTTTATAGGTTTTTGGAAAAAAATCTGCCTCCCTTTTCACTTTTTCCAAGTATCTCTTCCCATAAAAGGCAATATCCCTAAATTTGTATCATCCCAGGCATTAGAGAACCAAGGTCAGAAACCTTGATAGGATTTTAAGGTTATGTACTTTCTTCTCCCCCCAGCACACACACACACACACACACACACACACACACACACACACACACACACAAATGTTGCTTTTGCATAGTCGTTATTCAAAATATAGACATAAAAACTCTCGTGGTTGCAGGTAGTCAATAATTAATTAAGATGCCTTCTAAATACACTGAGTTTATGTTAGAGTAGGGAGGGGGTCAGTTGCCATCTCAAGGCATTGCACACTGTGAACCAGTTCTGGAGTCTGCTTACAGACCACAAAGGTTTATGCAGGGGCAGGGCTGATGGCAATCTCCCTTCTAGAAAAACGGAGTGACTCACAGTACAGATGTTCCACCTGCCCCTGCATTTGTAATTACGAGCTGGCTGTGGCGGTTCCCAGAGAGTCTTTGAATCTGTTCTTATATTCCCCCTGCTGCTCTTTTTAGAACAATCTAGGACATGTCAGCTGAAAAATGCACCAGTTGCTTGCAAAGAGAGAGTGGCTTTTTACATGGGGACGGGGACATAGAGTTCTCTTTCTCCCTCGGGGACATAGAGTTCTCTTTCTCCCTGTCTGCTTGGGAACAGGGTAGGGAGAATGAGCTAATAATTCTCAGAGAAATATATGAGTTCTGATGAACCCAGATACCTAGAGAACATCACGAAGTAAAGGCAGTTTAGCATAACTTTTTTAAATGAGGAAGACATGATAATTTTACTATAAAAAATACTAACACAAAGAAGATGAACCAGAGAAACCTGAATTTGTGGCAGCCTCATGAAGTAAAAATAAACTAGGTACCTATTGCGAAATCACTTTTGGTGCAGTGTGCCCCAGGCTGTGTCACTCCTGGTATTTTTTTCCATCTGCATATGAGTGTCCCAGTTTAGATAGACCCTGGATTCAGATAAACAGATGGAGCTTTAGGTCAGATGAGTTCCTGGATCACCCTGGCATGAGAGAAACGTCTTATTTTTTTATTTGTCAAGTATTTATCCACACAAAGCATTCTGTAAAGCGTTAAATCCTGGTTTGCACTCTAGTCTTTTGTTACCCCTTCAATTCCTGGGATTCTGGGAGGGGCGATGGAAGCAGAAGGAACCATATTAGCATCAGAGAATTTTAGAGCAAAAAAGTACTTCAGAGGAATATTCCTCAAATGTTCCTAAGGTTCGTGGACTGGTGATAATTAGGAAATTTTCATCAGTTTGGACAAAATGAAAAACAAAGAAACAAGAAAATGAGTTTTGTACGAAGCAAAATATATTCAATTTAAAAGGAAATTTTCTAAAAAAGAATGTCCCACTTTTCCAATTTTTAAAAGGCCATTTTATGGTGATTTGGGGGGAATGAAACCTTTATCCTCTACCCTCTCTTTCTTGTGCCTTGTCTGTGAAGGAAACCAGAATATGTCACCAAAATATGCCTCTTTGACAGAAAAATTATTTTGAACTGAAAGCAGTTAAGAAGCAGCAAATGCAGGAATAACTCCCCCTTTCTGCCTAGAAGCAGGGTATAAATTCTATAAATTCTCCTTTTGCTAGAGAGAGATTCTTATGAGTCCAGAGACACCAGAGGAATCTACAAACAACCATTACATCATTAGTTTCCTCCTGTATATTACACTCCCATAGTTTGCCACCCTTGGAAGCCTAAAAGTGCTTTCGTTTGTCCTGTCATTTCTCTAGAAATTTCTTGTTTTTGGTTGAAGAATGCTGTATAAGCTGGAGTTGTAAGTCACTCCTTTGAGTTACTTCTCGTTTAGGCTTCTCCCATGTGATATGTGCTGCATGCTTTATTTTTCTCTTCTTGTTCTGTTTTCTTTTTTTGTTAAAGAGCCCCAGATGAAGACCTAAGATGGGTAGAGGTAAAGTTTTCCTTCCTTTGCATCTGTTAGAGGAGAAGAGGCTCAAGAAACTGAGACCCAGATGGGGATCAAATCAAAGTGTCACTTTGGTCCTGGGCTGGGCAAGGGCCCAGTAACACCCTAGGTCCAGTCCAGAGGGCAGCCTCCTCCTCCCTCCCCCAAATTCAGTCGAGTCCATTCCACAAGGCTGATCTGACTCATACCCAGCCACAGGCAGAGGAGGTGGGCCAGAGAGAGACAACTGTGGGTTGCTAGAGTGGGCCGGGCTTTGTTGGCTTAACCACACAGAGAGAATGGCAAGTGCAGAGAACTTTCACCCATGACCTTGCCCCGTAAATGTCAGCTCTCACCAATCAACTTAGATGCTTCTCTTCCTTTTGGATGACAAGAACGTGGAGTGGAAGCTCTCTTCCCAGCATTGGCCTAAAGGTGAAAATGTTGGAGGAAGAGCCTTCCACCACAGACCAAAGTGGGGAGTACAGGACGGCTGGGTAGGCTATGGAGTTTTCCTGTTGTCCTGATGGTTTCATGACATCTGCCATCACTGGTTAGCTAAGGGTTGAAGAGAATCGAAGAAAGGTGTTCTTAGTTCCACAATCAGTCTCAGAGATTTTTTTAAATTAAGACTTTTAAAAAATTGTGGTAAAATACACATAACATAAAATTACAACCTTAACAATTTTTTTTTTTTTTTTTAGATTTTTTTTTTTTTATTTTTTCCTTTTTTTCCCCAAAGCCCCCCCGGTACATAGTTGTATATTCTTCGTTGTGGGTCCTTCTAGTTGTGGTATGTGGGACGCTGCCTCAGCGTGGTTTGATGAGCAGTGTCATGTCCGCGCCCAGGATTCGAACCAACGAAACACTGGGCCGCCTGCAGCGGAGCGCGCGAACTTAACCACTCGGCCACGGGGCCAGCCCCACAACCTTAACAATTTTTAAGCATACAGTTCAGTGGCATTAAGTACATTCCCATTGTTGGGCTACCATCACCGCTGACCATCTCCACAACTTTTTCATCTTCTCAAATTGAAACTCTGTATCCATGAAATAATAACTTCCTCCTCCCTCCAGCTCCCGACAACCACCATTCTACTTTCTGTCTGTATGCATTTGACTATTCTGGGTACTGCATACAAGTGGAATCATACAGTATTTATCTTTTTGTGAATAGCTTCTTTCACTTAGCATAATGTCTTCAAGGCTGATCCACGTTGCAGCATGCGTCAGAATTTCGTCCCTCTTTAAGGCTAACTGATATTGCTATTTGTATTTAACTGATTTTGCGCTGCGGGAACTTGAGCCAGACCCTCAACGTGGCAGCTGGTACCTGTTGCACCAAGAGTTCTGGGAATGGCCTAAAAATGCACGGATAGCCTTAGCACCTTCCTGAGCACATAGCTGGGGAGTTGAAGAAGATGTAAGATAAATTCTTTACCTCAGCTGAGAAGCAGAGGGATAGCAATCAAGAAGGAGATACAGGCGTGCCTGTCAGTCACTGGGCACCATTTCAATGGCTCCTCTCTCAGGATCCATCCTATTGGAAGCTCGCATTTGGATGGTACCTCTAAGCTCTGGCTTGCTCCTCAAAGTGCATTTGTTCCACTGGGGTCCGTGATCCTCTGTAACACTCACGAAAGAGAGACTTGTGCTCTCGGGACTATGTGCTTGAGAGGAAGATTCCTACTATACAGCAAATCTGAGTGAGAGAAAAAGTTGCATGTCTTCAGACCAACGTCAAAGGATTTCATCTTTGGAATTCCACCTTTCTTTGGAAATGTAATCCTTGATGTGAGTTCATGTTAAAATTTAGGTGTGTTTGTGTTGCTTGCTTTGCATTATTTGGAGTATTTTAGACTTTCA